CAGTGGGCTGTGCTCCTTGCCTTTTCTGGAGCTTCAGTCCACTTTTCTTGGACCTGAAGTAAACAACCTATCTTGTTTTTGCCTGTTACAGTTGGGGATGCTTAAAGGACAGTTTGCCAGTCTTGAGATTTTTCTTACGGCAGTTTTTGAAAATCTGTTTTAGACTGGCCAAATCTTATTTGCTTGTGGTTACTTCCTGTTTTGTACTCCTCTCCTCTCCTGCAGGGGCAAGTTAACAGGAAAAGGGGTGGGATGAGTGTTTTGGTGAGTTCAGGAAGTACCCTCTTGTCGCTACATGGCCTCAGGAAAAAACAATAGGTGGTGTGGGGGGCATTACACATTTGCTGAGATTTTGTGGTTTTGTGTTTACAGGGTAAACAGAAGCAGAATCTAAGCAGAGACTCTTGTGTTTCCCAACATTTCAGGGAGGCAGCAGTGCATTAACTCTTTTAAGTGGTGCTTAAGCTAAATGTTTCTCCTGTAGATGCTGGATAAAAATGACTTTCTTTTCTTCAGATAGTGGGTATTTAACTAAGAAGTGCTCTTGAACAGTAGCACAGAATGCTTTGTATTGTGAATGTCAATCAGGATAGTGCTACTTCTTGCTTGCATTTAATATCAAAGTTTGGGACACATTAACATTCCTGGAGGTGACTTTCATAGCCAGTGCATTTTCTTCTGATACATACTGTTGTTTGCCTACCTTGCTAGTACATAATTACGGTAAATTAATATAGTATTAGCAGAAGTAATGCTTGCTGAACCAGAGGAAGCTGGAACATAATGGGTAACGTTCAACTAACTTTTCCCGTCAAGGATTTCTTCTTGCACATTGGGACCTTCTCCCTTTTCCCCCCTCCCACACTGTATGCCTTGTACCCTCCTCAAATTTTTCAGGAGTGTTCAGGGAACCCCTGGAACAAATCTAGGGGGTGCATGGGAGAAGGTTCCATTGTGCAATTAGAAATCCTTGCACTGATGTAAGGATTCAATGTAGTGCCATGTCGGACAGAATCTCTTGTGTTCCATGTCATTTGGGTTGATTGCAGACAGACAGACAGAGATGCTGTTACAAGTTCAGCTCATTCACTGTGATCAGCAGCCAATCACTCAGCAAATAATATGTGGTTAATTTTTTTTTTGTTAGACCTTGATGGCTAGAAATATTTTCTCTAGCCTTTTGGAAAGAGACTTTCTTCAGCAAGTGGGAAGGGCAAAGAAAGAATCTGGTGAAAAATGCCAGAAACAACAATGGAATGAAGCTTTTTTGTCGTATACAAGGGTCTAATGGACAAGAGTAATGTATATTTTTATCACACACACACACACATTGTCAACTCATTAAAAACCACAGTGGTGTACAACACAATCAGGAAAACATTGTAAAATTATAAAGATAACAAAATATGGAAGAAATGACCAACACTCGGTCAAAATTATTCTCTCAAAGTTTTTGACGAAAGTGTTTTCAGTAGGCAACAAAACTGGTGGCTGTCTGATTTCAATAAAATCATTGTTCCAAATTACTAGTCTCACTACTCCAGAAGGAAAAACCAGGCTGCAGAATTCTATATTAGCTGCAGTTTCCAAATCAGCCTCATGGGTAGCCCATGCATTCCAGTAGTCCAATGCAGCAGTTACCAAAGCTTGAACTGGGATACCAAGAGACTTTTTTTGTATTTTCCCTAATGCTTACACCACTATGGCTGATCTATGTCCATATGTAAAATGGTAAATTTCATTGACTAAATCATCAAAAATAACATGATTAAATCTTAATATCCTGTTCCAGAATTATTATGTAGTAAAAGAGAAAAGATGGTCAAAGGAATATCTATCTTTCTCCACGTTGCAAGAAGCATTTTATAGGAGCCAGATTTTAATACCATAGCCACCTGATTTATGATATACATGCCTGATTACTCTGCTGAGGCAGCCACTGATTCACACACTCATTCATCTTTACTATATTTTCTGTCTGTAATTCGTCAATTTTTTCATCATGGATTTGGCTTAATTCTTTTGTTGCCATAGTTTCTGTTAAAAGAGTCAAGCCTCTGAACTACAACTTGCGGCAATTCACCTTTACAAATTGTGGCAAGGTAGTTCTATGTTGATGTAATTTGAGAAAAAGTACTAGACGCCACATTCTGTGCCATCCAACACTTTAAAAATATTGGCAGTTTGCGCCACTATGAGATGTGTTGCTCTGTCTCACCCTTGAAATGAGTAACGTTTCTGATTCTTTTATGCTATTTCAATTATTCACACACCCTGTGAATGCAGTTCTAAAGGAAGGCACTTTGATGTAGGATTCTAAATGAAAAATAGGTCATTATATTTAGTAAATGCTTCAGTTCAGCTTGCATCTAGGACAGGTTCTGTGTTTTGCACATGAAATAGGCACCCAGCAGTGCTGACTTGCTTAGTGAGGCTGTGCCTAGTAGAATATCTCTGTGCCCTTAGCTGTATGGGATATGCTGATTTTGGATTTTTATAGGTCTTTTAGAGTTTCTATAGGTTTTAAAATATTTATTCCTGGTGTTTAGGCATGCAGGGCTGCTTTTCTCCCAAGTGACCACGGAGAAGCATTGCTTTACTTTGGCAACTTCCCAGTGCAGCATGGGATTCATTGAATGGTAGATTTTCCAGTTTGATTGTTTGATGTACTTTAACCAGGGCTGGAAATATCACTTCAGAGTTACATCAACCCAACTTGGTGAGCCAGTTATAGGATCTGACTGGGGTTAGGAACCCAGAAGTGGAACTCTCCTTTTTGATTGGGCAAGTCTCATAGGTAGATCAGGGATTGTTCTTCCACTCTTTGGTAATTCTGTGCTGGCATGTCAGGGTTTCATTCTGTCCTCTTCTGTTGAGTGTCCATGTGGACCTGCTGGAAGAGATTGCCAAAAGGATGGGAATAACATGTCAGTATACTTGCATTACACAGCAGTATGTTTCCTTTACAGCAGAGTCAGTTAGGAACAGTGTCTTAGCAGCCTATTGGGCTGAAGACAAACTACCGGTATATATAGAATAGATGGTGGAGCTGATGCTAACTGGGAATCCAGCGTCTAAAGGGAGGAGGGAGTCTGGTGTAGGTGCTGTGGCCCATTCATTAGTGGCCCAGGCACACTCTTTAAATTGGGGGTAACCAATGCAGAAGGACTTCCCTGGTTCTTCCAGGCACCATGGCACCTACGACTGCCAGCTTGGTAACCCTCAATATTTAAGGCCGGGGGGCCGGATTGAGCTGGGAGAGCCTTCTGCCTTGGATTTGGTTGGTCTGCAAGGATTGTGGACGGGGGGGGGGGGGAGAAATGGTAGGGATGACTTCCTTCCTTGCCTAGTGGCCCATCCTCTTTGCTTGTTTGTTGCCTACCTGGAACTGGCAGAATAAAAATAATAATTTCAATAATAATGATTTTATTATTTACCAGTATACCCTGCCCATCTGGGTGGGTTTTCCCAGCCACTCTGGGTGGCTTACAGAAGGCACTTGCTTCACCCCATGAAAGACTGTGTGTTTTAAGAATTATGCAGTTGGGCACAGAGATGGATATATATGTGTGTAGTGTCTGAGCGGGGAGGTATATTTGAATGTGTGGTTTGTGTGAGGGAGAAATGCACTTAGGCAGAGAGAGGGAGGGAGAGGTGTGTGTGTGTGTGTGTGAGAGAGAGAGAGAGAGAGAGAGAGAGAGAGAGACAGAGGGAGGTAGCAGCTTTTTACTATTTGCACCTAGTGAACTTACTTTATTAAGCTAAGATATGAAGGGTGTTCAGATGTTACATTCAACAAGTATATGATCTGTATACACAAAGAGTTGATATGTACACTTCTACAGACATTCACATATAACATTTAATGAGTGCACAGCCTGTACAGATTAGTTGAGCCGTATAGGTGGCGCTGTGGGTTAAATCACAGAGCCTAGGACTTGCCGATCAGAAGGTCGGCGGTTCGAATCCCCGCGACGGGGTGAGCTCCCATTGCTCGGTCCCTGCTCCTGCCAACCTAGCAGTTCAAAAGCACCTCAAAGTGCAAGTAGATAAATAGGTACCGCTCCGGCAGGAAGGTAAACGGCGTTTCTGTGTGCTGCTCTGGTTTGCCAGAAGCGGCTTAGTCATGCTGGCCACACGACCCAGAAGCTGTACGCCGGCTCCCTCGGCCAATAAAGCGAGATGAGCGCCGCAACCTCAGAGTCGGTCACGACTGGACCTAATGGTCAGGGGTCCCTTTACCTTTATCAATTAGGAAGTGCACACACTTGCACAAACACTTGCACGTATGTAAAGATTGCTTGCATCTGTGTTCAGTGCAACATGTAAACAAGCCTATAATCTTCTGAACCATGGCAGGGTTTCAGAGCTTTCTTTTAGATTTTTGGAATTGCACCAAATATTCCATTTTCCAATGAGGGTTATAATTTATAATGTGCACTTAGAGGTTCCAAGAACAGTGTGTTTGGAAATGAACACAACTCTTTCCTTAATTACTAGTGCCCAGTGATGGATTTGCTTAACTCCATTCTGTTAAGCCTGTTCTTTTTAGCCTTAGTTAAGAACAATTTTCATAGTGAAAAGTTGTCCAAGAGCCCAGACGTAATCTTGGGGGAAATTAGAAACCTTAAGTGTGTTGAGTAATTTAATCTTAATGTTGAAGCTTTATAAATGAGAGGTGCCGCGTAATTTTAATGCAGATTCAAAGTGGTTTCTGTGTCAGTAATGCTGGAATTGGCTCCCCTTAATCTGCGTAGTAGGTGTAAAGCGTCTCAGTTCTGAATCCACACTGCAAAGACAAGGAGAAGACCAAGCGCTTGCAGCAGTCTCTGTTTCAGAGTCATTTGACATTAATGCTGACTTAGAGTCAGCTTCTAAAAATAAAGTTATTGGAAGAAGGTTTAGGCTGCAAATATGAAATTGCAGAACTTCTACGTGAAATGTTTTCATTGTCATTATTACTCTTTTTCTGATGGACTTTGTTCTTATATTTGTCACAGTGACCACATGGAAAATATATCGGGCTATTTAATGAAATACACAAATCTTGTCACAGGCTGGCAGTACCGGTAAGTACGGTTTCTTAAAAATTCACTGTATTACCTAATGATGAAATGAAGTTGTCTTAATCAGTAGGCAGGGATTTGTTTTAAAATGCTGGAAATAGTCAAGGGCTGCTTTTGTTCTGTTTTAGAAAAGGATAAGCAAACTACAGATAAAGGCAGAAGTGTTGCATCAGTAATCTCTTATTTTTGTGCCAGGCATTGATTGCCTGAGCTGTAAATGCACTCATTCGACTAGTAGGTTTTGTGTGTTTCTGAGGGAAAACTCTGCTATGAAACACATTCGAAAAACCCAGAGCACAGTTAATATTTGGGAGTAAAGTGCAAATAATGAGGCATGCTTTGCTTTCAAATGTTATATTGTACAGTACATTTGAAAAGCATAGTGTTTACAAGAGAAAATGCTGCATCCCTGTTGAATATTACCGATGGTATTCTGAGATACTTCTTAGAGAATATTTAGCATACCTAGTATTTGGGGACATTTGAAAAAGGTTTGAAATGCTTGTTTTTCACAAATCTAAAGAGGAATTCAAATTTTGCTGTTGCTCCCAACCCCTGCAGTCTTTCCTTCTACCCCGAAAGCTCAATGTTATTTAGATTTGACAGATTTGGGTATGCCCCTCCTTATCCCCCCCCCCCCCGCTCTCTGAAGTATGCACTATGTTTTGGTTCAGGTTAATCACATCAGTATATTTTAAAAGCCTGTTAAATTCGCTTGGACTTTAGAGCTGGTTAAGGGGAAGAATTAAAAAGTGAACCAAGCACTTCACCTTCCTTTTCTCTCCTAATGCCTTAGTTGTGTTGCATTGTGTGTTTTGAGCTAAGGGAACAGCATTTCACGATTTCCTCTAAATATCTGCTATATCAATTTGCTTCTCCCATCTTTATTGCCTGTGCAGTTTGAACTTGAACTCTCAATGTGTCAACAACTAGGTTTCGTTGCACCGAGGTTTCCCAAATACACATTTTGTTATTGGTACTACATAGTGATTAAACTAACCCCATAGGAAACCATTGCATTTTTATTGTCCTATAAACAGGCGGTGATGAAGCAGCAGTAGCACAATTTCATCTTTTAATAACGGAAATGGTAGTATATAATTATCATTAATGTTATTTGGTGTGTGTGAGCCATCAGAGTGCCACTAAAGTCCTTCACAAAAAATTATCCCACTTCCCCAGCCCTGATGTCTGGGACAACTTAGCAAGTTTTAAAAATGTTGTACACATAATTTACAAGTACAGCAACAGAAGTATGTATACCCTTAGGACCAAGCCATGCATGATATGTGACTGGATCTACCAATCTTTTTTTAGAAACAGCAGCAACCTGTTTTTTTAAACACAGGCATAGAACTCTGAATTTGGCATCAGTGCTGGGGAGCAGTCCCTAAGCCCTGTTCCCTAATCTAGATGATTCCATCCTAAATTGCTGCTGTGTTTCCCTCCCCCTATACAGTATTCAGCAAATATATTGGCTGCAATGCACAATAACCAGTGACTGAGCCATACATCAGAAAAGGCCTGTGCAAACAGAAGAGTCTTAAGCAGGAATCTGAAACAAAGCACCAATTGTTATTGCTTAATAGTAATAGGGAAGGAGTTCCATAACCTATGCGCAGACAGTTTAAAGGACTTCTATCTTTTGGAAGCAAGGCAAACATCATGTGGCATTCTGAAATGTTCCTTTCTGGCTAAATAAAAATATTGGGCAGAGGGTCTTAAACCTGCTCTCTGGACCCTGCAGATGAGTATTGGAGATAATACAGTGCAGTCCCTCCTGTACTCATTTCACAGAGTAATCCAAGAGGATGCCATATAAGGAGAATGATCATACTTTCTGTGTCCTGCTCTTAATAAAGGTAATCCTTTGAATGACCCAAGGGTGATTCATCCCATAACCAGGCCTGAACCTAGACGGGGAAGGGTCTAGAAAATTGGTGTCCTCTAGGCCAGTGTTTCCCAACCTTGGGCCTCCAGCTGTTTTTGGACTACAACTCCCATCATCCCTAGCTAGCAAGACCAGTGGTCAGGGATGATTGGAATTGTAGTTCAAAAACAGCTGGAGGCCCAAGGTTGGGAAACACTGCTCTAGGCATGCCTGCAGTTGCTCCACCATGATTCCACCATGACTTTCCTCCTCTAGAAAGGAAGTTGCCCTATATCAAAGGTCCAGGGTAGGCTGCTTGAGGAGTGGCTACACCTCTGCTGCCTTGAGGACAGCAGGGACCCTCCCCAATGCAGAAATGTGTTAACTACATTCTGAACCCATCCAGTCACACCCTTTCTCCTAGTTTTTATTAGCCAAGAAGAGCAGGGGTCAAGAGAGCATTGCTGCGTGTACCCCGTCAGTGCCACCAGGCTGCAGCAGCAGGTTAGACATGGCAACGGACACCTCAACAGAGATGTCCTTCGGGCATCAAGTGAGTTTGTCCTCAAAAGTACAAAGCAAAATGATCACAAAGGGCTTCCAAGGACACTACAGGTCCACCCACAACAGCAGTTGTGATCAAACTTCAGGCCACATTAGAAAACTCAGTTGGACATGTACTGGAAGGTGCAGTGCATCTGATAAAGTTTTGCCATCTGCACTACTGCATAGTCGGCATGGTTGTGCACTCTAACTAGTGTTTGATCAGCTTCAGGATGAGACATGTGCCATTTGCATTCTAGTCATTATCCAGCCTGCTTCATCTTCTATTCTCCTTAGAGTACCATGGGGCTGCCTAGACTCTGCAGCACCTGAGAGGACACTCAGGGTCAATTGTGTGTTACCTCACTTTTTCTAAATGTGATGAAATCTTCAACAGGTTCACCTGTGGGAAATCCCCCAGATATCATTCAGGAATCCCTTGGATTCCATAAATCTCAGGGGTAGGCTATCCCTCTTGGTCCTCCAATCCCTGTAGGGAGACACTGGCACCAGAAGTCCGCACTTTCCCAGTAAGTGGTCTGTCCATGACACAGGGGTATTGTGGAATCCCCTCCTTTCAGACTGCTCCTCCCATTGTTCAGAGCAAAAACCACATTCAGGGTATGCTCTGTTCTGTGCGGTCTGTTGTGGCGTTCCCATCATAGCCATGGAGGCTAGGAAATGCCAAGCTGGACTGACAGTAGACCCCACATGAAAATTGAAATTGCCTAGAATAATTGTCCTTGTTCTTCCAAAATCTTACCAGAGACCACTTCAGCCAGTTCAAAGGGGGATGGCACAGCAGTGGTATTCCTAGTTTGTTTTTATGGCCCAGCACCAGATGCAGACCCTCTAAGCCAGTTCCAAGTTCAAGAGGTTTTCTGGTGACGAGAGAGTATTCGAATGAACTTTGGTGACCTAATCCCCCAACATTCAGGCCTAACAGTGTTCTGCTCTGAAAAGCCTCACCACCCCCACATCAAAAACATTAGCCTCGGTAGCAGCGCAGAGTCACATACCAAGGGGAGAAATAATATTTTTCTAAGGACAAAATGTCCACGCACATGTACAATTACTTCGTGGTAGAAGGACTTCCTTGCCAGTCTGGGGAACTGCAGGATCTGAGGTCCTGTCCCTCAGCCTGTACATTTAGCATGACTGTGGATCCAGAGGCAGTTTATTCACTGAGTGGGGAGTCAATTTATTGAACTAACAGGAAGAAACTGGTTATAGCTGGCGGACTGGTCTTCAAGGAATATTTGATCAGTCAGTTGATGGGCATTCCAAAACTAATCACTTCTATTATTGACACAACCCAGTTTTCTGTAATCCCAAAATATCTAAATATGGCCATCTGCGTAAAGAGTAATTTGTTTAACCTTTAGTCTTCCTTTACCCTTACATGGTTTATTTCCCTCAAAACTTACAGGTATTTTGTCTTGAACAATGAAGCTGGTCTCCTGGAGTATTTTGTGAATGAACAGCTGAGAAACCAGAAGCCCAGGGGTACATTACAGCTGGCTGGAGCTGTGATCTCTCCTAGTGATGAAGATTCTCATACGTTCACAGTGAATGCAGCTAGTGGAGAACAATATAAGCTGCGAGGTAAGACTCTGTAGTTCTTGGACTTCCCCACTAGGAGGAAGCCTTTCCTCTTTTTTTCTTGTCTTTGGGTAGCTGTCTTCTTCAAGTCAGTGTCTGCTTGCTGTTTTGTGCATTCTGAAAAATTACTGTGTCTGAATTTGAACAATATTTTTTTTACAAATTAAACTGCTGGAGGTATAAAGCACTTCTTTTTACATAAAAAATGCATAGTAGACAAGAGAAATACTAAAGATAAGTGAAATCCTCTCATTTAGGAATAATGACTATAACACAAATGTTGGTGAACATAATGTCTCCATGTGGTAAAACATTTATATGCATATTATAGGTATATACAAAACTATACATTGTAATTACCGTGTGTTCTTGAAATTCATTCAAGTTTTTAAAAAATATATATTTTAAACAATTGAAATCATGTTAACCATTCCACTTTGATAGTTGGCATAAAAACAGTCACATTTTTTCTATATGCATCGTTTGGGGAGAGTGGTGCTTTTAGTCAAAACAAGAGATGTAACCAATCAATGTGCTGTAAATTTTTACTAAAATGCATAGCTGCAAAATGTGACTGCTGAAGAATGAGGGCTGATAGGTCTTCACCCTTTTACACAGGTGTTCAGACAAATACCACATTTCATTGAAGAGGAGCTTTCTGCTGTAGTCCAGACTGGAATGTTTCTTCTGACTCATAGTGAATACTTGCAACACTTAGTATATCTTACAGTTGCACTTATCTGATTCCCATATTTGTCCCAGCCCAATCAGTGGATTGTGAAAAGGTGTGGGTGTGTTAGAACAGTGTTTCCCAACCAGGGGTCACCAGGATATTCTAAGGGGGCCCCAGGTGAAAAATCCATAAATGGGGGGCCACAACAAGAGGCCAGGGATCACAGAGGGAAGTGAGAAGTGAAGAAGAAAAATCCTGATTGGCTGACTGTCCGCCAGTAACAAGGGGATAAGGGGCGGCCCACCAGGGCTTAGTGCTCCTTTTTGACATGTGCACCCTCCTTTTTCAGTATAGCTTCCTCAGAATGCAGGAAGAGTAGTTTTAGTTCAACATTTGCCATTGTTTGCTGTAGAAAACATTTTCCTCTATTTTTGCTGTGGCCCTGGCATCACCTAAAAGCGTACTGTGCACAACCAATGCTACATCGATCACAGAACCATTGCAGTGGGAGGTTAGAGTTATGATATGCCTCAGGATAAGACCCAGTAACCCAAAGCAAGAGGTGCCACAGGTTGTATCTATGCCACATTTTGCACACCCTCTCCTTCTGCATTGCTGGGATGTTCCCTAAACAAAACTTAACTTGAAATAAATAATTGCATTCTTGCCTTGTCTGCCTCTGAACTTCCTTTTCCTTCTGATGATTTTTTTTTTTAAAATGCCAGCTACTGATGCCAAAGAACGGCAGCATTGGGTCAGCAGGCTTCAGATATGCACACAGCACCACACTGAAGCAATTGGAAAGGTACTGTCTGTAACGTATACTTTAAGTTATGCAGCAGTTATTTAAACTGCCCATCAATTATGTAGCTTAAAGGGTCATAATTACAATTGCTGAAGAAGCGTGAGCCTACCATAGAAAGATGGCAGCAATGCCAAGACGAATTAGGTTTTAATGACGTTTTATTTGAAATGTGACTCTGCAAACTTAAGGGTGTATTTGTTGTAATAGTTGAATAGCGGGGACCTCCTCTGATTGCCGCTGAAGTGACTTCTCCGTAGCTACTAATGGCACTGTTCAGTAAAACAAAATAATCTGACAGGTAGTTAGCTAAACACCCAGAGAAGGAAATTCTACCACTTTCCAACTAGGTTTTGGCTTTTTCCATGGACCACTGTCTCTTCTGCACTTTGAAGATCTGAAGTCTGTTTCCTTAAATTGTAATGGCAATGCAGTCCTTAAAACTGCAGCCCTTTCACTTAGGAGTAATCGGTGTTGAACCCAGTGGGATGGACTTCTGAGGAAGCATGTATGGGATTAGACTGCGAATCTGTTTTTCTTGTAGATGTAAATTACCGTATTTTTCGCTCATAAGGCGCACTGGACCATAAGGCGCACCTAGTGTTTTTTTTTGGGGGGGAATCAAGAAAAAAAAATCTTATGTCCACTTCTCCCAGAGCTGCTGGGGCTGCTGGGGGAAGCCCGGGTTTCCCTCCCCCCCCAGCCCCAACGAGCAAAGAAGCCAAGTTAGTGAGCGGGATGGATCCTGCTGGCTGTCTTGGCTTCCTCTTTAGCCGCGCGCAACCTCTCCCTGCCTTAGGGGTTGCGCGTGGCTATGGCACAAGCCAAGACAGCGAGCGGGATGGATCCCGCTCGCTATCTTGGCTTCCTTTTTAGCCGCGGGGCTGGGGCGGGGGAAGCCCAAGCTTCCCCCGACCCCAGCCCCCAAAACAGGTCAGGGAGCGGCGGCAAGGTTGCAGGCAGCCTTGCCGCTGCTCCTAGAGCTTGCGGGGCTGGGGGCCACACATTCGCTCCATAAGACGCACAGACATTTCCCCTTAGTTTTTAAGAGGGAAAAAGTGCGTCTTATGGAGCGAAAAATACGGTAGGTGTACAGTGCGTACTGCACAACAGAGAAGATGTCTGTTCTCTTTTATGGTGGGGGAGATGGAGCAGCAGCCCCATGGGTGCTAGTTCCGCATTCTGAAGAATATTTAGCATTGGTCAAGGCCTGAATATATGTTGATGATTTAGCCAGTCCTCAGGGTTTTCGAAATTATTGAGTGCATATTCTAATAGTATATCTATGTACTTAATATGTATATAAGTAAAAAAAGGTGGAGACTTGAAGATTAGTTTTCAAGTATTTCCTAATATGTATGTTTGTTCACCAGAACAATCCTCCTCTGAAATCTCGCAGCTTCTCTCTTGCATCTCAAGGAAGTGGCTCCCCTGGTGTGCAAAGAAGACCCAGCCAAAATGCAGCTTCCTTTTTTAATGTTGGGCATCACAAGCTGCCAGCTGGGAGGAGAATTCCCATTTTGCAGCCAGATCATTTAATTGATGTACGGGAGGTTAGTATAATCTTAACTTCTTATTTTTACCAGTTTCTTGGTTAAGAATAGCTTGCTTTGGGAAGCGAACAGTCGCTGTACTATCTGAAATTCAGCACGATAATTGAATTTATGATAATAGTAATTTACACATTGCAGCGTCAATAACGTATTCTGGTTACTTTTCCCTTTCCATCTACTCAGGTTGAGGTTGGCAGTGAGCATTGAGCTCAACATGTGCTCTCATTCTTCGCTGCCTCAAAACTAGTAATTGATAAACTGCTATTTCCATTCTCTATACTTCTTTATCTGGGTACCCGGGGGTGATAGTTGCGACTTATTCTTATTTATTTTATTGTTGGCTTCCTTGAGTATTTTGTATGGAAAGGCAAGGCTTAAATTTAATAAATAAATAATCCTTTCATGATGAGAAAGAAAATCTTACACATGGGACTAAGGGGTTACAGGTGTTATCTTGACCTAACAGGGGTGGGGAGATACCTTACTCTCTGAACTTGGGATTGGCTCTTTCTTGAAAAGCAAGCTCAGACGCTTGGACCATGATTCTTTAAATTAGGAAACTGAACAGGAAAGACATGACTAGTTCCATCATCACTCCTGTAATAAGTCTTAGGGCTGGAATGTAGCACTGGGTGGTGATGAAATTCTATCAGTCTCCCTCTCGTAGCCTCCCTTATATTCGTTTGAATAAGCTGTGCAGTGAATTATCTATGTAATCTGCTCTCATTGCTGGCCACAGAAGGTTGAGATCGCCATGCATAATAGATCACGTAGCCAAAAAGTAGAGTGACCCAGTTGTGCTCTCAGTACTCTGTCAAGTGATCATGGACAAGACGTCCTGTGCTGCCTGCTCATCATCTGCTCAAAACAAAGTCGAAAACACTGGCGTTTAGGATCCATTGACATCCTTTTACCCTTGGGTTTTCAGGGGTGAGAATATGGTAACTCCTCATTCCTACTGAGCACCAACTATGATGAATGTCAGGGTGAACCTAGTTCGATTCCAAAGGTGGATTTCTAAAGTCTCAATAAATCCAAAGCAGAGCTATTTCTGCTACTGTGTCTTAACTTCTAGGTTGGTGCTTGGCTTTGCTCCGGCAGTGTTAACCATACCACATTTCTGGATTTCCTTTGTCTAAAAAGAGCATTAAGAACAAGCAGGACAGAGAACTGGACAGGTTTGAGGCTTCAAGATGGTGAAGAATTGTGGTTAATCTTTGACTGAGGTTAAAACCAATGCTGAAGTATTTCATTCAGAGAGCGGGGGGTGGGGGGTTAAGACAAGACAAGAGGGAAGGTGCAGGACTCTGGAGATACGTGATATCATACCTGGTTTCCATCCCATCTGAAGCATCCACAAAAGATAAAACTTGTTTTGAGTAGAGAAAAGGATAGTGCTTCTTTTTAGTATAGGGCTGATACTTTTGTGTAGTAGATTATTAGCATGAATGTTTCTTCCATTCAGGTTCAGCCCAAGACACTTCACAGTAAATGGTTGTCTTCTCCACCTCCCCCCAATCCACTGGCCCAACCAAGGCTGTGTTATTATGGAATGCGAGGCAAAAAGGCCCACAATCGCCTCTCCCTGGCAATAAAAATGGAATACTAATAAATTAAATAACTAAAAATTTGCTGCCATAGGTTTCAGCAAAGGAGTGGAATGTGATCATTTATATGATTATGGTTCTAAAGGAATGGATTGGCACCATCTTATGATGCTTTTAAAAATAGATTTGTGTGTGTGTGTTTGCTTATTTAGTCTGAATATGCAATATGTTCTTGCTGGTTTGAATGAGTAGGTTAGCCAAAAAAACTGGCTAGGTGAGTTTAGATAGAGTTATTTCCCAAGATAATTTGACTAAAGAACCACCTGAGGTCTCAAGCCATTTCTGCAATGCAAGGCAGGCCCTATAATTAGGCAGAGACCTGGGAGGCAATGGAGGCAGACACACCCACCCCCGATGTTTTTGCTGAGCCCTTGGCTGGTCCTTTTTTCTGGAAGGCAGGCTACGTATGACCTGTCCTGTGTCCCCATAACTAGCCGTTAGCTCTTGGGCATGGTGAAGGACATTGTTCCACTGCCTCCACTGAAGTAAGAAGTAGCTTCATTTAACAATCTATATAGTTTGGATGTTTGAAGAGTTCAGGGGATTGGATGAAGCCCGAGTGCTCTTTTCATAATATTACGTTGGCACACTGAATTTGAATAACAAGGGGTTTTAGGTAAATAAGAGTTCAGCTGATGTTTCAGATGACCCAAACCTCAGCCTTCTGTGCATTGATTGCCTGCTAGATGATGTCGCAAGCTGAGGGACAACAGAGAGACTTGATAAGGAACATAGAATGTCTTCCTTCCTCTGGCCATCTTTCTTCCTTGGACCAAGACCTGCTGATGCTCAAGGCAACCTCTATGGCCACAATGAATTGTTTAAACGATTGTTTCCACATTCTTCAGCTCCAGCATGCATCGCAACAAAAAGGGTCCTTACCTACAGGTGAGTTATATTTGCTCTGTCTTCTTCTTTTAATAAAGCCTTGATTTGATCTTTCTCTTCTGTGCAAAATAGGAAACACATTTAAATGCCTTCAGTACTTTGGAGATCTTACGTTCCCACTTTGCTGCTTTCACTTTAGCATTTGCCTATCATGAGTTTACATCACTCCTTTCATGGAATTCACAATGGTGTACATGGCATTCCTAAGTGGTCAACATCCAGGCACCAACCAGACCCAGACCAGACCAGACCTGCTTAGTTTCCAAATGGTGGTGGCCTCATGTGCCTTCAGATCATACCCGAAGGGGAATGTTCAGTCAACCTAGATAGCTGCTGCTGCTGAACTTCCCCAGGTCCTTGTATGGTGTAACAGCTCAGCTCAGAATCCGGCACTGTGATCGGCAGAAGATGCCAAGTTACCAGTAATGTTTATGTCCCAGATTGACTGTTCTTTTATTCAAGTTTGTGTATGTGTTTCTTTTAATAGGGCATTATTAGAGTCTACACACACTAGCCTTTGAGAACAGAATGGAACATTTTCATTATTGATGAGGAATTGTATCCATTCCGATAGACTACCTGGGGGGTAATTGGAGACACCAGAATCATTAAACGAACGGGTGACAGTTTTCCAAATGATGCAGCTTTTATTTTCAAGCAACTATTATTTATTCAACAGAGATTTAGTCAACTGTGCAAAACCAAGTATTCCCTCCACCCCATCAATGCCCCAACAAGACCTCTGGCAAAACGTGTGTTCTTTAGTTTTAGCTTTACTTCCTAGAAATAAATTGCAGTTTGCAATTGTTTTCCCCTAATGGTGTTGCTAGAATGTCGATGCTGCAACCTGTCCAAAGGGATTACGTAACAACCCAGTCTTATTGGGTTCTTTAACTGGTGTCTGATTACACCTTTCGTAACCCCATCTCCTCCTCCGCCGGAGCAAGTTGTGTGTTTCATCATGGCCCAATCACAGGCATCATTCTAATGACCCGAGGAGGTGGTGTTCTCCTGCACCCATCTTTGTTTTTTGTAGCTGCTTGAGCAAGCTCAGTTGCTTTTTAATCATTTTGGGGGGAGGGGGGAGTAAAGCTGCTTAATGACAGTTGCCTTTTTGAAAAACAAAATACGCTTCTAGAATATGAGCAAGTTTCAGCGTAAACTCTCGTTTGCTTCAGGGACAACTATCAGCTGGTTGGAACCAAAGATCTCCCTGCCAAACCACTTCAAAAATGGAGCAGATCAGAATTTCCCAGCAGATCAAAACAAGCCATCATCGATCAGAGAGGAGCAGTCCATTTCAGGTTCCAGTCAGCTAACCAGGGTAAGCCCCTGTTGTGTGCTTTGTTTTTGGTTTTTTCCTCCTTTACTTGAGAAATGGGGACGGCTCAGGCTTTTAATATACTACTATTTTGAGTAGGCATCATTGAGAAAAATCAGAGTGTAAACAGTTTCTGTGAGTGTAACACAGTATCAATACAGGTATCACTTCTTAAGTTGTAGCTTTTCCCCTTCTGTCATTAACAGGAGGAAATATGGAAAAGGTAGCATTGATGAAAGGAATAATTAAGTAAATTATAATAAATCCCATGCAGTTAAATATAGTTGCAAAGCCATAAGGAGATTAAACGGTGAAAACCTTTCCAGGTATATGTGCTCAAATCAGTCAAGATAAAGTGAGAATGCAACTGGATGTTTTTAATATATATATTTTGTCACTTAATCTATAGATACCTTTCTTGAAAATTAACAGCAGATTAGAATAGTAATGGAGCAACAAGCTGTAAGATCTCATTGTAAAACTACATATCTGATCTTAAAATATCTTAAATTGAAAGGGTATAATGAAAGCTATTAAAAAACTGCAATATGACCATATTTCAGAAGGCAAACCATGACCCTTGGCACAAATGAAAGTTGTAGTGAACGGATGCTGTCATTTCTTCATTTCCCACATTAAAAATGAAGAAATTTAGTCATTGTCCATTTGATTTAAAGTTTACTTAAAGTGTGTGTGTGTTTAAGTTTTTTTAATGAGTTGGAAGCCAAAGCTAGGCTTTGAATCATGGTTGCTTCCAAACAAGAAACTGAGTTACAGAAGTGGAATACCCTTACTGGAAGAATGTGATGCCAGCATACTTACTGACAGTTCAGCAGCTGTTCGCACCCTGGAGAGACAATGCAAGAAAATAGGCTCCCTTTCTCTGCCTGCCCCATCGTGGCTGCTGCTCCTGTTCTGATGACTGCTGTTTACAGCTTTTCTTTACTTCTCCCTGGTTACCACCATACTTTGCTCTAGGAGATGGCAAATTCCCACTACACACCCTGTTGCTTGCAGCACTTGACGGTGTTACCTAGAAGAGTTACTGAATTGTACCTGAAAAGACCTGGTGCCCAACCCATTCTTCACTGAGGCAGAAATCTCCACACACCCAAGCATTCCTAAATGATGAGTGTATGTAACTGAATAGAATTCGGAGTGCAGTATGCCGTGAGCAGGGATCTTCAAGTCTGGGAGAGGAATACAAGTAAATGCAAATACAAGCAAATAAATAAACTCATTTAGTAAGATGAAACTAGATGATTTAAAATGAAATCACATCTCCCTCACCAGCCATAGGCAAGAGTCAGTTTCATAGCCCGCTTCCTATGCTGTTCTTGCTGCCCCCCAACCGCCATTCTGCTCCTGTATCCCCTGTTCCTTAGTATTCTCTCCCAGTTGCTGGAATGAGCAAGCCCTGTTGCAAAGCTTTTGAGTTTCCACAATAGCAGTAGCAGTGTGAATGTGGCTGTTCTCTCAGCTACTTTTCTGCCCGCACTGGGATGAATATCCACCATAGTTCCATCCCAGAAAAATTAATTCAGGTATCCCAGCAGTTCTCAAACTTTCTACCCCCAGGGCCCACTTGAGAGGACTGAAGGCTAGCACTTACAAAACTGTTGGGTGTCAGGGCAGGGGCAGAAACAATTACAAAATGGTGGCAGGTAGAGATGGAGACAGGCATAATCAGCTGGCAGGTACTGACATCACTCTTTATTGATATCTAATTCCACTTCAGAAATCTCTAAATTCCCTGGCAGAGCGATTTCCTTGTGGCAAGAAGTTCCGCAGTACAGATACTGGCCCTGAGGTGGTATGACTCAGCCAGCCCGTTTTAGGTAGAATTTGCTGATTCAGAGGCTCTAGATGGAGAAGTCTTTTATATTATACTCCCCCCCCCCATTTCAAAGTCTTTATTCATCTCCTGTTATTTCTTCTCCTTTAACATTTGTGCCTTATCTACCTAAGCTGCCAGTTTTTCCTTTCCTCCTCCCTTACCCTTTTACCCTTCACTTTCTTCTGCAACAGCTTTCCTCTCATCTCCTTTCCGTTTCCAGTTGCTACTTATTTTTAAGTACAGTGGTACCTCGGGTTAAGTACTTATTTTGTTCTGGAGGTCCGTTCTTAACCTGAAACTGTTCTTAACCTGAAGCACGACTTTAGCTAATGGGGCCTCCCACTGCTGCTGCACCGCCGGAGCACGATTTCTGTTCTCATCCTGAAGCAAAGTTCTTAACCCAAGGTACTATTTCTGGGTTAGCAGAGTCTGTAACCTGAGGTACCACTGTATTAGCCTTTTGCATCTCTCATTTCCTTCCATTCCTCTTGCCCTTTCCTCCCCACCCCAACTCTGACTCCCGCCCATCTTTCTCGGCAATGAATTGCTGGTACTGGCCTCAGTCCAACCAAAATGGCAGGGGCAGAGCGGGCAAGTGAGGAGACACAGTGTGGGCTGTGTCCGTGAGGCCCACTTGAAAGTGCACTGGGACCCACTTGCATTCCCAGACCTAGTGCTGGAGAATCGTTGGCACAGCCTAAAATACTAATGCATTTTGGCACCTGTAGAGAAAGCAGAGAAGAGGGGGAAAATGTTTTTACACCTCCCCGAGGAACTATTAAAGGAAGATGTCTACTCAGTATAGCTTTGAAGGGCACTTCAAATGGGACATAGGAACAATAAGCATTCACAGTTATTCTATTCTATAAGCAATCTTTATTAATATCACTGACAAATATTTTGTGGAATATGGAGGGTAACTCCTGGGTCCGTATGTTTGAAAAGGCTTTGCTCATTTTGATAGATACCATAGTGGCCAAGTGGATAAGACTCCTTGTTGTTTATTCAGAATGTTACCTGCCTTTCACCACAAGGTTCGAGAGTGGGATACAGCAATTTAAAACACAGTATTAAAATTAGTTAAAAACAAATACTTGGTGTGCCTTATCTGTCTTTGTCTTCAGTCTGCCTCTTCCAAGGTGAGACATGATACTGAATATATCATTCCCTCTCTGCCATTGGAGCTAATAGACCTTTGAGTCTGGCAATCCAGGTCATCTTACTAAATACTTCTTCTATGCTTGGTCTATAGCCATTTTGTAGTTGGCTATTCCACTTAGGACAAGCAGGAATTCCTTCTGGGAGAGTAAACTTCATAATCTGTGATACATGGATACATGCAGGTTATACTTCATTTATTTCTTTTTTGTGTGTTGGCACATTTTATATTCAGGGCAAGTCTGTCAGAGAACTTTTACTGTTCCCACTTTTTTCCATTTGTAATACTTGAAGTCATCATTCTACATAGGAGAAACTGAGCATCATTAGCATTAAACATAACATATGTTACTCTTATTTTTGTTTTACATTTAATTGTTATTAAAGTGGGTTTTTAAATTTCCCACTCAGTGATTTTGTCTTGTTCATTTCAGGAAATTGACAGCAAGTACTAGAAATATAAAAAAATTGTTCCATCAAAGGCAAAATATGATTATACCTATCTGTTAAGCAGGTCTATCAGCTGAAGTTAAAACGCAGTTGATGAAACACCCAGCTTTTAATTAACAGATCAAGTAAATGTGCATATTACCAAAACCCTGAGTGTGTTTGAGGTGGGTGTTTGAGATCATTAAAGAATGCTCCTGGACAGCATTAGAACTTGTAAGCAAAGGCTACTATTCATTGTTGAATCATCTTTATTTATTTTTTATCAATGTAGAAATCCAGATTGTATAATAATTCCTATTTTAATAGCACCCTAGAGACACAAAAAATGAGCATATTGAAATCCCACCCGTATTGCAGAAGAGATACACTGACATTGGTTTAAACAGAGTGCTGTCAGCTTTACTAGCTTGTGTCTCTTATTCCTAGAAGTGAAATCATACATATGGGCTAGTTTTGTAGAGAAACTAAAAATAAAATTTGTGTTTTTTTACAAAATAAAACTTCCATAGGGAGAAGAGAGCTAGTGTGTCTGTGGAGGATGAACAGTGATATTCTCTTCAGTCAGCCCAAGAAATTAGTTAGGCAACTAAGTCTTTCTTCTGATTCGTCATTCTCAGGATCACGCTATTAATTGAAGCTTGCAGCCTTAACTGTTGTTAAGTGGCTTGTTCAGTATCACTCCTACAAATGATGTTGCTTGAGACATGAGTGATTATCTGTGAGGTTTGGGAGGATGACTGAACCGTCGTGCTTGGGAGGAAGAGGGATTAAGTTATAAAGCCCAGATATTTAGGGCTGGTGAATTATTTGAAGTGTCATTTGTTTTTGGAATTTACACTAGGAACCAGAGGAAATAAACCCAGATGAGGAGATAGAGGATACATGTGAACTTAAAGAGGATGACCTTGGAGCCGTGGAAGAACAGCGTAGCGTTATCTTGCATCTCCTGTCTCAACTCAAACTTGGCATGGACTTAACAAGAGTAAGTGACTGAAACATTAATCTTTTTGAAATTGAGAGGGAAGTGCTTCTGGAACTGAAGGCTGGCCCAGCCACATCTGGATTTGCACAGACAACTTAATTAACTTGGAATTAAGCCTTTGCTCCCCTTCCCACAAAAAAGCCCTCGCTGAAGACATTCCTACCAGTTGAGTTTATATCAGCTAGTTGAACTGCGCTCTCAGAATTGTTTATTTAGGAATTCTTTTGGGTAATAAGGAATCTGCTGTGTGTGTGTGTGTGTGTGTGTGTGTGTGTGTGTACACTAGCTCCATCTCACCCCAGGTTGTCATTCCTGTTGACCACCATGGACTGAAATGGGAAGCTTCCTGCACTTGTGGAGGCTTGGTGTACATTTCAGAGCTCTGGAAAATCGGGGTTCTGGAACATTCAGGGAGCCCCGATAAGTATAAGTGATGCCTTAGCTTCAGACAGCCACCCTCCACTGTGTTGGAACACCTAAAGAAGAGGAGAAGGAGGAAGTATTTCATTGCGTTTTAAGAATACACAATGTAACATGTCTTCCTCTTGTTTGCACTAGTTAAGGTTGTGCTCTTTGCTTAGAAAAGCGTTATACCCTTATCCAGTCACTTGCAATTCGGAGCTTTAGGTGTGCTTCATGCCTTTGTTTCTTTTCAGGTGGTACTCCCCACTTTTATATTAGAGAAACGCTCTTTGCTGGAAATGTATGCTGACTTCATGTCCCACCCAGATCTCTTCATTGCGATATCCAGCGGCGCCAGCCCTGAGGAGAGGATGATCCGCTTTGTGGAATATTACCTCACTTCCTTTCATGAAGGTCGCAAAGGGGCGATAGCGAAAAAGCCATACAACCCGATCATCGGGGAAACGTTTCACTGCTCGTGGAAGAGCAGAGTACCGTCCGACACGAGTAGTAACTCTTCGTCCCATTCCCTCTCTGAGCAAGGGACTGTCTCAGAAGAGTCACAGGAACAAGCAGAGTCGGACTACCACACAGTCAGATTTGTAGCGGAACAAGTGTCCCATCACCCTCCAGTCTCAGGGTTTTATGCCGAATGTGTAGAAAGGAATATGTGTGTCAATGCTCACGTCTGGACTAAAAGTAAATTCCTAGGAATGTCAATAGGAGTGACTATGGTTGGCGAAGGTAAGTGAAGAACGCCGCAATTAGCCACTTGCCACAATCGGCTCACTCATGTTTGGTCGGTTTCACAGTGTGTGTTTCACCACTTGTGCTTTACTTGTCAGCTAACCCAGTGTTTTCCAATCTTTTTCTAACAGTGGCTCCCTTCTGACCTTGTTTCCTTCCTGTGGCCTGCCCATAGCCGGGGGGGGCAGTTGTGTGCTGTGGCCCCCCATTTACGAGATTTTGACCTTTGGCCCCCTGGAATATTCTGGGGGCCACCAGGGGCCATATGGCGCCTGGTTGGGAAACACTGATTTAACCTGTGAAGACAGGGCTTCATGGTGCCAGTGATGCTCAGGGATGGCCATTTCAAGAGCTCATTGTGCTTCACTGTTCAACAGTACAACTAAGTTTCAAACAGATTGTCTGCTCTACTCACTGGGAAAAAGGCCCAGGGCATTTAGACACCCATTGGATTCCATTAATCTCCAGTGGTGAGGGTGGGCCATCCAATTCAGTACCCCACCCCTCCAGGGGTAGATCAAAGCCATTAGACCATACTTCACCAGAAAGTGGTTTGACCATGAGCCCCCTGCTACTTCCAGTCAACCCCTTCCTCCATCTGGAGCAAAGACCAGATTGAGGGTGTGCCCTGGCCAGTGTGTTGGGTCACTGATAACTTGGGACAGCCCCATGGCTGTCATGGAGGCCATGAAGTCCTGAAAAGGAACACCTGAGGCATCCTCTGCATGGATGTTGACATCATCCAGGACTATTGTTAGGGGTTCCTCCATCACCATGCCCATCAGCTTGGTCAGATAAGCTGGTGAGCAGCAGATTAGATGGTAAACCAGCAGTGACCCTTGTTGACTGTCTTCTTGGCCCAACAACAGGTACCGGCCCTAACAACCAGCTCCAAGACAGGGGTTTTTCTGGTGATGTAGATGGAAGTACCGGTACTATGAGCCACATCCACTTCATTGCCACCCTATCTCTGTAGCTTGTGCTGATGCTGTAGTCAGGTGGACAGAGCTGAGTCAGATCAACTCCCAGCTTGCCCACCCAGGTCTCATATGCACCATGGACAGGCTGATGGCCACAGCAGATGAACCACCAGGAACCCAGCCATGGGAGAGGTGGGAGCAAGAATCAAGGTGTAAATAGCCTCTCCCTCGACTTCTGTGATAACTTGTCTCCCATAGCGATTTCTCTCCCTAACCATGTTCAGCTCTTCACAAGCCCATGATATAAATAACAGCCCAACAACAAAAATGTACTACTACCCATCAGTTATCCCAGAAGGTATCTATCTGGTTAAGAACAGCTTTACTAAAAGCATGTACAAACCACCCAGCCCCTGCCACACTCCAATCCTGCCTCATATTCACACTGCAGGCTCTTGCCCAGGGAGAATCTGGCAACTTTCTCCAGTCATACAATTCACTGTCCAGGTTCTCACCCTGTGCAAGAAGCACAGACACCTTATGAGGAATGAACCCCTTTAGTGTCACCCTTTTGGTGGCAAGCCTAACACCCAAGGGCAGCTGAGCTTTTATGCCCTCTGTCCCAGCCAGCTGCAGATGCAAGAGACTACAGGGTTAGGTCTCCTTCCAAGGGCAACCTCTCTTTGGTCTCTTGGTCAGAGAAGAAGACAGGCTCCAGTCCTGTCAGAACTTACAGTGGACCTCAGTTGTTTTGGGAGCAGCTGGGACCAAGTTCGGAAATCTTGTAGCACGTGAAAATGACAAAAAGGTTTGTCTCCAGATGATGTCTTTTGTGTCTTCTTTTATGATGCCTATGTCCTGGCCCTAGTATGCATTCCAGTTTCTTCTTTGCTTCTTTTGCATTGCACATTTCTGTTAATTTCAGATATTTCCTACAGAATTTCAGGCGCACAGACCCCTTTTTCTGAAACTGTTGCTTTGCTCTAGTTCCTTGTGAGAGGTGATGTCGTCCATCCTGCACCCAAAACTAATCTTACTCCGTTGCTCAACTTAGTATACAGTGGAGACGTTTTTTGTAATGTATGGTTGTTTGACAAGTCACAGTAAGACATAGATACCAGCAAGCCTCAGAAATGTAGAGGAATTGTGCTGGGGGGGGGCGCGGGGAGGGTCATAGGCTTTACTGTTCTAAACTATGTTGGCCTCTTAAGTAGAAAATGCAAATGGAGATGATCCCAATGAATTTTATCTCTCACAGGAAAACGGGGGGTATATCTTCTGTCTTTACAATTAATGATCATAATTTCCTAACATATACTATGGGTTGTATATACAACAAACTCCTGTTAGAGCAAGGATTTCCACCTATGCAATAGGACTTCTTCCCATCTATTCCAAGGGATCTCCCAATCCTCCAGAGCATATTTGCAGGCGCGGGGGGGGGGTGTCGTCTCAGGGGGAAGAAGTTATATTGCACAGGCAAAAGTCCTTGCACTAACGGAACAGCAGCTGGTTTTAATCTTTCGAATATAGTTTTTGCTGCATGCTTTTATGTACTTTTGTTGTAAACCACTTTGATAACTTTATGAAATAGCAGTATATAAATATTTTTATAAACAAACAAGCTTGGTTGGATACAACCCTATACTGATAGTGCAAGTAGCTCCTCTGTGAGTTAAAAGAAAAGGGCTGTTGTCACCTTAAGTAAGTGATATATCATTGATAATACTAAATGATAAAAAGTCCTGGTTCTCTGCATCCTCTAATATAAGTACGGGGAGTATGAATTATTTGTTTCTGTTATTGTGGAGCTGATGTGAATTTCTCTTGTCTCGCAGGTATTTTAAGTCTCTTGGACCATGGAGAGGAATACACGTTTTCTCTGCCTTGTGCATATGCTCGGTCAATTCTGACTGTCCCTTGGGTAGAACTGGGAGGAAAAGTCAGTGTTAATTGTGCAAAAACAGGATACTCTGCAAGTATTACTTTCCATACCAAACCATTCTATGGTGGCAAGCTTCACCGGTAAGTATCTATGGTTGGCAGGCGTTTTGTGTAATGTAGTGCAGAATCAATTGCAGGTAACTTACTTAGGGGAATGGCATCTTTTCATCTTCCTCTTTTGAGCTGGATGTTGTAAAAATGAAGTCCATGTATGATGCTGCTGCTACTGATCTAAGCAAGCCACTTCATCACTCCGTTCTGAAAACTTGAGAAGGACATTTAAAAGGAAGCTAAACCTTTTCTGAAATACTTTTGGTGCTTGCTGGAATGTCGCTTTCAAGTCAAAGAGTCTCAGTAACTCGAAAGAGATCTTCAGAGAATTGTAGAGTTGGAAGGGGTCTTCAGGGTCATCTAGTCCAACCCCCTGCAGTACAGGAATCTCAACTAGATTTTCAGCATCTAAAACCATCTTGATTTATTTAACTAGTTAAATATTTGCAAAAGATTGATTGAACTCTGGCCCCTGGCAGGGAAGTAGTGGAAAATAATAGCAGAATGTTGTGTATTGTGTTGTGCTATTGAAATTGTGCTTCCTAATTTTATGCTTCTTTATCAAGTGCCTTGAGAGAGAGCATTTGCCTTGAAAGATGGCCAATAACTACTTCAAATAAATCAAATACATCAAAGCACTTGTCTGTCGTTTCAATTTCCAATGGGACTTTGGATTAGTGTTTGTATGAGCTTTTTTGTAGTCATAAGTACAAGAGAGAAAATGCTGTCATAGTGATTCTGCTGCTAGTTGATATTGTAATGAAAATTATGTTACGATTTTTCAGAGAACTTTACTATTAAATACTTTTTATTGAGCGGAACTGTATTGTGCACAGCTGAATTGCTGAGGCAGAAGTTGGCTTCCAAAGTACAATTCGCATTTGCTTAGGTTTAAAATAATGCTAGGGAAACATCTGGTTTCAGGGAGTTTTACCTAAAATAGAATATAATATCTAGACACTATTTCATATTTAGTATTGGTCGGTATTGGTATTTTTAACAGGATGTTGGGAAAACTGCATATTTCTCTTTAATCCAAAATCTGCAATACTTCTCTGTAATCAGCATGTTAAGGTAGCAGTGGCCAACCAATAGCCTTTCAAGAGGTTGTTGGACTGCGGCTCCCCTTATGCCTGACCATTGGCCATGCTGGTTGGGACTGATGGGAGTTGGAGTCCAGCAACAGCCAGAGGGCTACAGGGTAGCCACCCTTGATGCAGAGGAACGTTTATCCAGTCTAATGTATTCCTATCTTAGAAAGCTTAGAGGAGACCACCAGAAACTCATCTAGCATTGAATTGTAAGCAAAATGCTCCTTTTTTGGTACACTAGATTTCACAAATTTGGTGAAGTTCCCATTAAACTTTGTTGTTCAGTATTAATTGGCAAGCCACATATTTAAAAGTCTATCTCTCTCTCTCTCAACCCTCCATGGCATGAAATTCTTGAGCTGCCATCAATAGAAAACAATGATTTTTAAAGAAGTAAAATGCAAGAGATGAGTGCAAAAATAATTAATGGGCTCCTAATGGGCTCCTAAGTTTACTATTTTCTTTTGAAAACTGTTTTGAACTAGCTGCACAGTTAAACATTAGAAATGTAGCTTTTTAAAACACATTTGCAAAGAAGATGACGAGCACTCAAATCTTGCTGTACTGGAACTTGCATGTATTCCTCTGTTTCTAAAAAGAAATAACACAATATGAGCTGTAACCCTACATGAATACAGAGCGTGGGCTAATCCAGCTATTGTCACATTTTACTTTTTGAATGCTGTTTTTTTAGGGTTACTGGTGAGGTGAAACAGAATGCTACCAACACTGTTGTCTGTAGAGTACAAGGTGAATGGAATAGCATCCTTGAATTCACCTACAGCAATGGAGAGACAAAATGCATGGACTTGACAAAGCTGTCTGTCACAAGAAAACGAGTCCGACCCATTGAGAAACAAGGGGCATTTGAATCCAGGTAAGAGAAGTTCTTTTATGTTTTCGCAATTAACACTTACTGGGTACACTTAAATGCCTGCACTTCTTTTTCATTCATATTTGTGGGAGCCCAAGTGGTTTTTTGTTTTTTAAAAAAATGTGTTAGGGAAACCTAAGGAAAACCAAAATGAGCATAGGAGGCTCTCTCAAAAAATGGCCCAGAGAATTAGAGGTTCTTCACAGAGTGGTTTGGCACTTTCATTAAATGTGGCTGCACTGAGGTTCTCCACTGCTGCCATGCATTTTTATTCTTCAGTTGGGTAACAGTTATATTCTATATTGCACTGCAAGTTCCTCATAATTTTTTCTGGAGAGAAAGCACTTCCAGGATACGGTGGCAGTTCCTTCTTGCCTTTCATTCACCTTATTCTTAATCTGAGAGGAGCCAAGATTATAGCTGTGAATTCTGCTCATGTGCTGCAAGTATTGACAACACACTGACCTGCTAAGAGAGCTTGAAGTCAGCTGTCCCTTTTTTAATTCAGGAAGCTGTGGCAACATGTGACAGAGTCTCTGAGGGACGGGGACATTGATAAGGCGACAGAGCATAAGAAAGCACTTGAGGAACGGCAGAGAAATGAAGAACGACTCCGGGCTGAGACAGGAGAACCGTGGCAAACTAAGTACTTTGTCAAAGATGTAAGTAACTCAACACAAGTTGAATATTTAAAATGCCAGCCTTCCAGCATGTCATAGGGGCTACTGCTTGCCTCTGTAAATATAAAAAAAAATCCTCTGCTTAGTTCTTTGCATTTTTTTTGAAAAGCTCACATATAAACAGAAGATAGTTGAATATAAATAGCCTCTGCTGGAACATTTTTCTTGCCACTTTATTTTATAGATTAATGCCTTCACTTCAGTTTCTCTACATGCTCAATGTATATGCTTCTTTTTGGAACTGAACTGCAGTTTTGGCTTCATATTAATAAGTCACATTTGCAACAATCCTGTCTAGTAGGTTAGCATTATTATCCTTATCTTGCAAGCATAAGATATTGTGACTTGTCTGAAGCCACTCCCCGAGTCTGTGGCTGAGATTTGAACAAGGGAACTCCTAACATGAACTATTAGCCACTATGGTGAAGAATCTCTAGCACCTAGGGAGAAAGTCCAAAATTAGGCTTTCTTGTCTTGTAAGGGCCAGACTATACACTGAGTCAGTTCATCTGTAGTTCAGCGTTGGAGCATCTGACTTGTATGCAGAAGGGCCTAAATTCAATCCTTGGCTTCTCCAAGTAGGACTGGGAATGTTCTTATCTGAAACCTTGCAGAGCCACTGCCAAACAATGTGGGCAATATTGAGCTAGATGGATCAATAGTCTGGCATAGTGTAAGGCAGCTTCCTGGAAGAACATAAAAAGAGCCCGTCTACTCCTTCCTGTTCTCACAGTAGCCAATCAGATGCCAGGGTGAGAACAATGGTCACCTGTGTTCCTAGATGTATTAGAAAGCTCTGGTTTTCTGGTAAGGGAGTCATAGTGAGCCTCAGGCATAGTCCCCTTCCAACTCTCCAGTTTTGTACCTGTAAATTCAGCTTCTGATTTGAAATTTGTGGGTTTCCTGAAGGTATCCAAACTCAGGCGACTGTGGCTTGTTTAAACTGTGGATAGTGAGAAGGATCAAATTGTGGTTTCAGATATTATGGTTATGGTCAGTCTCTGGGCAGTAGTGTACTACTCAGTTCCTAGGACAATTAGCATTAGCCATTGAATTTACATGGAGAATTTTTCTTCAACTGAGTAATCTTGTTCTCTGTTTGAATTGCAGGGAGAGGGCTGGGTTTATTATAACCCTCTTTGGAAAAGAATGCCTGCTGTACAAAATGAACCAGCAGACACAAACTAGATGACATTTCTTCAAAATTATTCTTCTCTTTTGTTCTAATCCCTACAACTTCCAAAATTCTGTGTCTCACTAACAGTCCTTTGGGATTTTTATACAATTGCACAAAATTAAGTAAGCATAATGGAATAAACTACTAGGGCACTTTAAAGTTGCAGAAAATCAAAAGATAGCGAGAGAGAACCTTGCCAGGTATGTCTTCTCCCCCCACTTCAAAAAACATTTTATATGGCGCTGAAGATTTTATCTGAACTGTGTATTGTATTCTTTCTAAGCACACCTACTGCAAAAGCTGCCTACGATATTTTATATATATATAAAAAATCTTCTAGAAACAGTAGCATTCAGAGCTGCTATGCTGTTCTGCCCAAGTGGAATTGCTTCTGGAGTAATAGCTGAACAGTTCTTCCCAATCTGTGCTCCATTTTCCACCTGTTTCTGAACTACTCAGTGCCCGTATAGAGAAACACCTTTTGCTGCTCTGAATTATTATTCCTGCTGAAAACCTTGAAGAGGAAAGCTCTTCATAAGTTGACCTTGGAATCAGTGTTATTGAACTGTCTGGATCAGGACTTGACACTTCTTTTTTTAATTATTCTTCGGAGGCAATGTGTGCATGGCTGTAAACCTCACCTTTTTTTTAAAAAAACAAACCCAACATTCTAAAGTAGATTAGAATTGTAACTATGGGGTGTTTCCTATATGTGAAAGAGTTGTGGAGAGAAAGGTGGGAGCAGAAGTATAAAATTCAGAACAATTTTGAGCTCTAGAATTTCCCTTAACCTCCCGCCAGCTTCATTTCCTTAGCAAACGGCTGTAAATACCCTGAAGATGTTCTGTCTCTTTGAAGAGACTGAAGCTCAGACCTGACTGATGTGTCCTTTTTAAAATATCTATATATATACTTCATTGCCCCCCCTCACTGTTCTCCATGGATCATCTCTGAGACAGAGTCAGTGTTACAGGTTGCCCAGGCAAGTGATTTCATTTGTCTTCTGTGTAAGTTCCGAGTCAGACATCTTTGTGTGCCCGCTGAGTACAAAGACCGTCGCTTTGGTTTTTCTACAACACCTGAGAAGGCTTGTTTTTTTGCTATGGGACTACATACAAAACCAGTTGCAATCTGATACCGGAAAACCATGTTCAGGTAAAAACGTCCATTGTTTTTTATGATACCGATATTTTATTGAAGTCTAAGAATTGCTGGCAATTAAGAATAGTACTGATTTATGGCTTTCATTCTTGTTACTACAAGCTACCTTAATTTTTCTAAGAGTGGTGCCTTACTCTGTTTCTTCTGATGTAGTCTTCCAATCAGTGTATATACCATTATCTGTCATCTTCTGGTTTGTGTCAACAGTGGGGCCTCTCCCTGCCATCATGAAAACCTTCAAACTCTGTGTGTGCTGGTCAAGTGTGTTTAGTTTTTTCTTCCATATTAAGGGAAAAGGTTATCCGAATGCACCCGAGAGTGGTTAAGTAAGCACCCTCATTTTCCACAAAGTCTGAAAAGTGTTTGGGGGAATTTGGGGGGAGGGTTATGCACATGTGTTAAGATTCCCTTGTACTTTTTTTATTTTTATTTTTTGCTGTGAAATGCACTGAAATCTTAATGCGACTAGTGTACAATTCCATGTGTGAGAAAATGGGGAGGGAAGGAAATAAAGCTACCAAACGGAACTGTTTGTTTGTTTTTTGTCTGTGTTCATAGCAATGCGGTGCTCAATGCTGACAGCATATTCAGCTTCAAATTGTGGAATAGGATTTTCCAGTTCAGAATTTGTAGGCTTTTAAGAATTGGTCTGCTCTCTCTCTCTCTCTCTCTCGCTCGCTCTCTCTCTCCTGTCCCACACTGCTCTGGTCTATTCAAACACGCAGATGACACAAATGCCACTTCTGAAGCATCCAGATTTCTCTTCATAAAGAGCTTGCACAGCTTTTGCGAGTTAAGGTGAGATGGTGCTTTGGCATTGTAGGCAAGCTATATGCTTCCATGAACTTGTTGTATAGTTTTCGTGGAAAGAAGCCCATTCAAAATAACAAAAGAAATAGAAATCTGCCAGTAGTTGCTACAGAATGCCAGGTGTCTGTCACTGTGAAACATAAATATATATAGTTCAAGTATCTCCTGTTGGTTTCAATAGAACTTAAGTTCCCCAGTATGCTTACAGTTGCAATCTTAGTCCAGAGTCCAGAGAGCCCCGTGCCTGTGCAGAGATCTTCCTCATCCAGTAGCCAACTGAGAGCAAAGAGAGCAGGGCCTTTCACAAGTGGCTTTTCAGGTGGCATGTGGTACTCCTGTGGAAAGGGTGGGATGCTGAAAAGCCCTGGCTCTTACTCGGAAGCCCACATTGCGTTCCTTTGGAGTTCTAATTTAATAGATGTTCTATTGAAGTGAAAGAACAGCTTAAAGAACAAATAAGCTGGTTAGACAAAACGTGGGTTTTGGCTGAGATGACAGTAGTGGAAATTAGGAAGGAAAATTTGCAGAAAGAGTTAGGTGTCAAACCTTAACTTTAGGAATAAACATGGTATCAATATTGGGTTTCTTCAAAGTCTGAGAGATGTAACAAATTTTTCAAAACTTTGGAAGCCTGTGTGAATAGAAAAAATTATTTATTTTTAAAAGCAAGCGAATGGAGTTCTTTTCTGATTAACACCTAATGGTTCCAGCAATTTCTTGCGTGATCTAGTATCAGGCTAGGGTCAAGACTCTGCCTTATCCCCTCGTAAAGAATGAACATTGGATGGGTTTTTTTTAAAAAAATGCCTATTAATTGTGAATCTTTTTAAAAATAAAGATTTTTTTGTGTTATACATTTAAAATAAGTATAAAATGATTTATATTGTGTGCTGAACATAATACAGTGACTCTGCCTTTTTGCCTAGTAAATTAAAAGGGCTTATAAATACGTTTTATTCATTCAGAGAACTAAATGGGATTTGGGGGAGGTATATATTTTTTTTCTGAGTGGCATGCCCATTGGTGCTTTTGTCCAGCTTTTATTTCTTTCCCCAGTCATTGGATATTCCTGTCACTCCCTTGATTCTCATCTATTGGGCAACCCATTTTGCTTGCCTCATCACCAAGGCTGCTGCCATGGCTGCTGCTGCTGCTGTTGTTGTTGTTGAGGATGTCGTCGCAATCCGTCTGCACCATCAGGTTGAACCGCTCTGCCACGCAGTGAGCCGTGAGTCTGGCTTCAGGATCATGGTCCCAGCATTCTGTGATGGTGTCACACAGGAAATGCATTCCCTGAAATTAAGAAGGAAGCTGGGAAGTTAGCAATCTCAAATCTAGGGGGAACGAAACGAACAGGGCATCAAAATAAGGACATGCGTTGTATTTATGATACTTTCCTCCGTGCTCTTCCTTCTGCTTCACTACAATTATTGCCCACTTTTGAAGTAAAAAGAAGAGCAATCAGTGTGCGTTACTGGCTCAGTAACATGATTTTTGACCTTGTGCTTGATTTCCTTTTCCCTATTGAGGGACACCGTATTCCATTCACCTCCCAAAAAATAAACTCTGCTTGATGCTATTGCCCACATAAATATTTTGATGATTTACTGGGAAAGCTGCAATAAATCTTGATTTCTTTCAGGCACGTATTGGTGATTAGTGAAGACACTTCCTCTGCAGCCAGTATGGGAAGCCGGTCAAACAGATGAAGCAGATGATCTGCTTTACTAGCCCAATAGAGCTGACCAGGCAGGGGAAACAGAAGGTTCTGTCCTGCCTCATTTGTCCAGTTAGCTTATGTGCAAGTCCTGCCAGAGCCAGCGCCATCTTTGCTGGGGCAACTAAAAATTGACTGGAAGGGTCTTGGGCAGTGTTATAATGGAAAGTGAGGGGGGGGGACCCATCTCTCAGGACAACGCCTTAAGAGGAGAAGAGGACTGTTCATGAGAGGACTGTGACTATATGAGGCCATTTTTGTCCACCGAGCACACTTCACTTTGTTTAATACAAAGTTATTGATTTCTGCTTTTAGCTTTTATTTTTTCCTCTTCAAATTGCAAAAAACTAAGATGAGAAAATGTACAAGGCAGCATATGGTAGCAGTTGACAGCTTGCGCTCTTTGATACTGGGTGCATTTGCAACGGTACTTGTACAAAACGTAAAGCAATTATTCTTCTGAGACTGTAATCATAGGTACTTTGAGAGTGCCACCAAACAGAATCAATATTAGTTATGAGTAAACATACAGAGGGCAACTCTCTGCATTTCAGAAATATGCCAAATATAAAATTGTACTATGCCAAGTTAGGATGCATTTTATGTTAACATATTAGGTTTGATAAGAAAGTAAGTATGTTAATTTCAATTTCCCCCAAAGTCTCCATTTTGCCTCAGAAACCTGGGGAGGGGGACAGTGTTTTGGGGGGGCGGGGGAGGGGGCTTCAAGATTTCTGCAAATGTTGTTTGTGTAGGCACACACCTCTAGGTCTGCTGCTCAGAAATACTTATTTAAAGCATTTTTGCACTGCTCTTCAGAGGAAAAGGCTTCCAGAGATCAATAACATGAGATCAATAACAAATAAGACTGCCCCTGCCCTCAGGCTTACGATCGAAAAAGAAAAGAAACCAAAACGGATGAGGAGGGAAGAAGAAAACAAACTCGGGCACCAGTTCTCAGTTATAAGCTTGAATGGAAACAGTTCAAGAGGAGGAATAGGCAAAAGAAGGTGGTCTCGTGGCAAAGCCATAAATTTTACCTTCCTTTTTTTGTACTTGCCTGATGCACCAGCCAATTGCCAGGTATCTCTGGACGCCCTCGACCATGCAGTACAACATCTCTCATAACCTCCATGCAGGGTTGCTCCCCGGACCTTTGAGCCAAATGGTAGCTCATAGTTCTTCACCTCTGCAAGGAAGCAGCGTTGATGTTAGTTAGATGTGCGTGCAATTGAGATACACATTGACCATGTACTTGTCGGGGCAGTGCTGTGGTGCCACCAAGAACATTCACCAGGAAATGGATAATAAAACTACCTCTAGTGGCGGCTTGCAGCTGTACCTGGTGAAGAACTGTTCATTGATCACAACCTGGCTGCTAAGCTCTGTTAACAGGGGACACTTTTAAATTCAGGCAGCACATTGAAAGATTTGTCGAAATGCCACTGTATGTTTCAGAAAGAAGCTTGCTTCATTTAGTATTGGCAGCATGGTATTCACTGGTTGATGCCCACAGTTTGTTTTAAAACCTGTAAACTCTTAAAAGTAGTAGCACCTACAGCCAAACCGGGTTGTGTTTGAGATGTGGAGTTGCAGAGGGGGCGGTGTGGATGTATAACAGGTACTTCCTTAATGGACCATGTTGTAGGACACAGCAGAGGCCACTAAGTATTTGTTGCTTGTTGCAGTGGTTAGGGTGGTGGACCTGGGAGACCAGGAGTCCAATCCCCACTCAGGCATGAAGCTCACAGGGTGACCTTGGGCCAGTCACTGCCTCTCAGCCTAACCTGAGGTTTGTTTTGAGGATAAAAGTGGAAAGTGGGAAAACCTTGCATGCCACCTTGAGTTCCTTGGAGAAAAGGTGGGATATAAATGTAATGACAGATAAATGAACCCGAATCCATATTGCACCAGTGATGTATAGCTCCCCATCCCCACCATCCTGCTAACACATTTGCCCATAGATTTCACATACACTGCCCTTGTAGACTGTTCCACATGTTAGCGTCTGGACTTGCATCTCATGAGAATTAGAATCAGCACAAGCCCAAATCACTTTGAATTAGCGGGACAGGTTAGCATTGCTGCTACCAGTTCAAAGCCTGATTGTGTAGCGGGAAATGCTAAAGCAATAAATTAATCCCCGTTAATGAATTTTTGTTACTGTTGATGAAATGTGGGTTCCTTTAGTGGCCATTCGCACTCCAAATGCTTCCTTCAATCTTCTTGGTATTTTCTTTCATTTTAGCAGGCTCTTGGCCTTTAACATAATAAAATGGTACAATCATTTCCTAGTGGAGAGGCAATACAATCTCCACTGGAGCCACACAAATCTCCATGCTATTGAGATAGGTCATTTGCCCATTTATCCTAGGATTATTTGCCTTGGCTATGGGCAGTGTGGCTTTTTGAGTCCTGAGGCCAGGAGCCTTTCCTGGCCTTGCTAACTGAGACCCATTTTTGCAAGAGATGCCCTCCTTCTATCTGAGAAATGCGTCCTTCTGCTAAGGCAGGAGTGGCTAACCTGTGGCCCTCCAGATGTTTGCTGCACTACAGCTTTCATCAGCCTCTGCCTACATGACTGGCAGTCATAGAGATATTGGGAGTTTTAGTTCATCAACGTCTAGGATGGGGTGGCCATAGGCTAGCTTCTCTGCACTAAGGTTTGCTTCCACCTCCCTCTGGCAACTTCTTGGAACAGCCATGTTTGTTTTGCCCAGTGGACCTGTAAAGCAGGGCTTGGAAGACAGCAGACTCTGCTGGTATAGACTTACCTCCTATGGCGTCACACCTGGAGGCAATCTCCCATAAAACCAGAGCCATGGAATAAACATCCATTTGTTTGAAGGACTCCAGATCTTCGAGATTCACTCGAGATTCCAAAACTTCAGGAGCCATATATCTGGCAGTGCCCACCTGACCATAAATTGAGTAGATGTTAGAAGGGGTGGAGGAGAGAAGCCGTGGTGATTGCAAGTTAAAAGGAGGCTGCAATGCATTAGAAGATCTGCGATACAGACTGGACCTTTTGTGCTTCAGAGTTGCTCCACCCCTTTATCTCTAGGTTTTTGTCCAAGTATAGGGTCCAAGTATAACGTACACTTGAAACTTAAGAACTTGATAGTGACCGTAAAATCTTCTCTAAACTTACCAGCCCTTACTGGGATGGGAACCAAGGCCCAAATTAGATGTGACAATAATTGAGAGCTTCTTTCCTGGGTTTTCTGTTTGTTTCATTCAAACCAAAAGGTGCTGTGGGCAGCTGTGAGTTTGAATGGAGGAAAGTACCACTCCACTGTCCAGTGGGCAGCTTTCTGCTCAAATCACTCCTCTCCCTGCCGCTTCTCCACCACGAGGGGAAAGACATTGAGTAATTCAGTGGTGTTAGATTTTGAATGCAAAAAGAGCTTGGGAAGATCAAGTAGCCCCAGCCTTTGATTACAAACTAGCTGCCAAAAACAAGATACCCTCTAGAACCCGGAACACAGTAGCTATTTGTCATTCAGCATCAAAGGTGATTCCAAGCCAATTGTGTACCAACAAGCAGGGCGCTCTCTTAAATCATAGTTGCATGTTTGTTTATGCAACATGCCGAATGCCTGCAGCAAATTCCATAGCAGCGTTGCCTTTTCAGAGCTTTTTCATACTGTCTGCTGTCCGCCATTGTGGGTTACATTTGACATTCTGAAGGACCCCCTTCACACGGAGAAGAGCCCTCCATCCATGGAAAGGGCAGCACGCAGCTGGCCCCACCCCCAAGATTTACATGCTGAACAGGCTGTCCAGGGGAAGCTTATGAGCATCATGCTCTACAGATGCAGCAGGCTTTCATGTAACCTGGATCCCCATTCACTCAGGGTTCTAGATCACATGGAAAACCTATATAATGCAGGCTTCCACTATGCAAATGTCCATGCTCAACACATGGAAACTGGGATTGGTAAATCAAATGATGTTTTGGGGTGGGGCCAGTGGCACAGCCCCCACTGCCCCTTGCACAGTGTGCAGAACTCTTTGCATGGCTAGCGCATGAAGGAGGCTAAGATCTTTCTACTTTCCATCAAGCAGAATGGATTGCTCTGCTGGTTTCATTCTACAGCACTCACCTGTCCGCTGTTTGCAAAATCTTCCACACTTAAGGCTGGATCCAGCCTCAGAGCAATCCCAAAATCACAGAGCACACATTCCTGTTCATTCTTAATGAGGATGTTGGTGCTTTTGATGTCCCGGTGGGCGATGGGGATCTTTGGACTGCCACAGGCAGTGTAGTCGCTATGCAAGTGAGCCACACCACTCACTAGGGAGCCAGCCATCTTCTGCAAGTCCCTCCAGCTCAGAACATTCCTGGACAAATAATCCTTGAGGTTTCCCTGGCTGTGGTAGGCCGTGATGAGCCAGTATTCTTTCTGGAGTCCAGAGTGCCTCTCCTCCGCTGTGAGGAACTGAAGGATGCTGTCATGCTTGAGGTTGGCATCGCTGAAGATCTGGCTTTCGTTTTTCCAGGAAGCATAGTCCTCGCAGGGGAAAATCTTCACTGCCACCGTCTCGTACTGCTCCGAAGAGGCATGCTTCAGCTTTGCTCTCCAGACTTCTGCAAACTGCCCTTTCCCGACTCGCTCATCTAGCTCGATAGGCAACAGTTCGGTGTTGTGGTTGATGTTGTTGGCGCAGGCTGTGCTCAGGGCGACACGGTGGTCGATCTTGACAGATAGTATCTCGTCGTAGCTGGTGGCTCTGCTGGGTTCAGGCAGTGGGCGGTGCTGGACTTGTTTCTGGGGCCACTCCTTGGCTCTCCTCCTCTGCCTGTGGGTTCGGCAGAGATAGAACGTCACCGTTATCATGATGGCAACCAGCAGTGGGGGCAACAGGCTGATGGCTGCCACGGGAATTATTTCTTTGCTTTGTAGCATGGAGTATCCTGTGGCAAAAGGAAAGCGAAAAATAATATACAGCAAGAACATCTCCGCATAGGCCAGTTAGTCAACATGAACAGCTTTTCTTAGTGAAGAATGAACATAAAACTAATAACTTGTGGGGAAGAATCACAGCGCAACCCCCAACTACTCCAGGTACAGCTGGAAATGTTCCCTGTCTGAAAACCCTGGAGAGCTGCTGCCATTCAGTGCAGACAATACTCAGCTAGATGGACCAATAGTCTGACTCAGAATAAGGCAGCTTCCTCCGTACCTTCTCCTGTATCCTAGGGCTCAACATTTCAAGTGCTAACATTTTCTACCATGGGTTTGCTTGGTTGTCTGTTTTCCTTTATAGTGCGATTTTGGAAAAAACAGCCATGCAGTCTAACACGTGGCAAATGTTAATTTATTATTTATTTGTTTATTATTAGATGCATATCCCACCTTTCCTCCTAGGAGCTCAAGATGGTGTATCAGGTCCCCCTCTGCTTTTCATTTTATTCTCAGCAACTATTGGCAGAGCAGCAGCCACTCAAAGATTACAACCAAGTCAGCCGCAGTCATCTGTATCGCAGCACTTTACCATGCATTTAGGAAACAGGCAAATTTCCCCCACAATTTACAATTTGGTAAGTTAGTTGTTTTGTTCTCAGACATAGTCAGGAGATCTGATCTGGGAAGAAGCCCCAACTCATTGGGTAAAGCACATGCCGGAGACTTTTGAGGTGTGCTGTTAATTAGTATATATGTACTGTAGATCTGACGACGGTATAAGCAACTTCATGTGCACTCAAGATGACAGAACCAAATCTTTCTTGCCGACTAAAATGAATAGTCTTTACAAAAACTCAGCTCTTAGATCATAAACCCAAGAGACCAAGGGTGGAAAATGCTGGTAACTCCTTTGCTCCAGGTCTTTTGAAAATATAAATGGCCCTGCTATCAATGATCAGATTAATCTAAGGAAGGCATGCTAAATACAAGCAGTCCGTCCAGCGGCAGTGTGGGAGCGTGGTCCAGAGGTTCTGATGCCCAAGACTCCTTCCACTCCCTCCCCCCTTTTAACTCACATATTTTTTAATTTTATCATGGGGCAGCTAGGTGCAGTGCTGCTGAGACCTCTGAATTTCCCAGAGGCACCTAAACAGGTAAATATCTGTAGGGGGAAAAACAGAAAGCACCCAGTGGTGGGTACTGTTAATGCACTCATAAGAAGCACAAAATGCATCACTGTGAAAGGAGCCTGCTGGGTGGAGCTGCCATAGATGCTCACTCTCCTCCCCAGCCACACTCAGTAAGTAAGAACCTGTTTCACACTGCAGCCGAGTGGCCCTGGAAGTTCAGCTCTGGTCAGGAAAGAGACCAAGACTGGGCACCACTATCTTTCCTTGTGAAGTGAAGATTACGGAGCAGATTGATTGCTATTGGGCCAGGTCTGTAAGAGCTGGATTATAACCATGCCGAACGCTTGAAGAACAGGCTGGCTAACCTTTGTGGAAATGATCCTGTTCTGCAGTTCCTAGTGGCTGAAATCACTACTAGGATGGGGATGTTTGTAAACCGCACTTGCAACTATAGCACCTTACAGTACTTGCGCCTCTGATTCGCAGATGCTGCAGACTCTTTGCTGCCACCTGCTGGTTGTAATGTGAACCTGCTGCTGCCCCATTAGCTGGGAGTATTTGCAATGAAACAAGCTTTACTGCTGAGTTTACATTGCAACGTTTCTGCATGTTGAGATCCACCGAAGGGATACTCCCTGACTGCATCCTTGAATAAACCATAATTAGGGTCCATGTGCGCGCATTTGTACACATGCTTAAAGGTGTTGTCATTTAAAAAAATGAAACTCATAAAAGAAAGCATACAAACTAACACAAGGAACTAAAATGGGAACAGTTCATTCAGATAGCTAGTAAAAATGGAAACTATTTTAAGTTTACAAAAAAGAAAGCTACCATTGATGCTAAAGGTTCTTTAAAGTCTGAAAGCATAAATGATTTTGCCTGGCAGCCAAATGAGAGTAATAAGGGTGCTAACTGGGCAGTGGCGTAGCGTGGGGGGTGCAGGGGGGCCGGCCGCACCGGGCGCAACATCTGGGGTTAGGGCAAATCCACAGGTTAGGGGGCGCAAATCCACGGGTTAGGGGGCGCAAATTACTTGTCTTGCCCCGGGTGCTGACAACCCACGCTACGCCACTGTAACTGGGTCTAAGTAGGAAGGTTGGCACCCCAAAGCTGAGGATCTACATTAAAAAGGCTCTTTTTGGTCACTGCCCACCACACTTCAGATGGTGAGACCAGCTTAAGGAAGGCCTCAGGCAGTGACCTCAGTGGATGGGCAGATTGATATGGGAGAAGATGGCCCATCAGGTATTAGGAAGATAAACTGTGTGGCTTTAAGATTTAATACTGGCACTTTCAGCTGAACTTGGAAACCTGCTGGGAGCCAGGCGAGTTGTTTTCAATACAGGCAAGATATGAGATATGATCTCTTCTCCCCGTTGCAAAGAGATAGGTGCAGTTCCTCACTGCTGCTCATGAAATTCAAATGAAATCTTTGAAAGGATTCTTGGCCAAGTATAATAGTGAGGAAGAGAAGTTCAAGAGCCGTCCCCTAAGCAAAAAGCCTTTGCTGCATGACCTCAGTGGGTGCAGCCTACAGTTCAGATACTGGAAAAAGAAACTCAAAGCGTTTGGCTGTTTTACTTGGCAGTTTACAAAAAAATAAAAATCTGCCACAGCTAACTTCTGCTAAGCTGTGAATGTTTCTAAAATAGGCATTGAGTTCAAACCACAGGATCAACCTCAAATGATATAATTTGAGTTTGTTTTGGAAAGCGCGAAGCCTGGCTATCTCCTGCTTGTCTAATGGATTTACCTGATGGGTATGACTACATCGCTAAAGGCTGTGAAATCCAGTGGAAAGCAGAATGGTTTTCAGAGGATTTTCCAGGACTTCTCTTATGTGCAAACCCTGAAGTAATAACTGTGTACATAATTCCCATCAGCTGCTTAAGTATGTTGCCTCCCGGGCTGCAAAGTCATCAGCTTGTAGCAGGGATCATTAAATGAGCCTGAAGAATTATCAGGCAGGCAGTTGTTTTCTATGAAAACAAATGCTGAAATGTAAAGAAAAGGAAAACCATCGCCTCATATTTCTCTGTGCCTCCCACTGCTTTCTCTGCCAGAAATGAATTGGTTCTGGAAGAAAGAAAAAAACCCACCTCACGGTCAAATGAAACAAGAAATGTTGAGGGCATCTAAATATTCCTCAATGGATATATTCTGAATCGAGCAATATAATCTCTATTAGGTAGATTTAGAGTTATAATATAGCCTTGGACACCTTCCTATGGTCCTTGTCTGCTCTCCAAAGGGTGTAGGAGGATAAATAGCATATAATGAATATGGTATGCTACTTTCTGAACACCAAACAATAATGTGCCACTGCTTTAAATGATCCAAGGAAGCCAAGAGAATATGAGTTTCTTTGCATACTGCTAACTCTAAAGGGCCCGAGGTATAAAACTTCACACACAGTATATCTATAATCAGTGCTTTTTTTCTTAATTTTTTTTTAGGGGTACTCTCATTTTGACTCAAGAAAACCACCATTTTATAGTTCAAATCGGGAAAAAGAAATACAGTAAATGGACAAATGTACAAAGATTCACAAAATGTTTAGGGGTATGTGTACCCCTGCGTCCCCTCCAGGAAAAATGCACTGTCTATAACAGGGGTCAGCAAACTTTTTCAGCTGTGGGCCGGTCCACCGTCCCTCAGACCATGTGGTGGGCCGGACTATATGGGGGGGGGTGGACAAATTCCTATGCCCCACAAATAAACTAGAGATGCATTTTAAATAAAAGCACACATTCTACTCATGTAAAAACACCAGGCAGGCCCCACAAATAACCCAGAGATACATTTTAAATAAAAGGACACATTCTACTCATGTAAAAACACGCTGATTCCTGGACTGTCTGTGGGCCAGATTGAGAAGGCGATTGGGCCTTAGGTTGCCTACCCCTGGTCTATAATGAAAAGCAATGATTTTTGTCGCCGCCACTGCACTGTCCTTGACCTTGGCACTGGCTGCCATAAGATGTGATCATAATCCGCAGTGTAGCTTATTGATAACTAAAATGATAATTCATTTGAGGGCTTCCCTCACACAATACTGGCAAAACCTGGAAGTGATGGCCACCGACGGCCACATGTTCTTAGTACGCTTTTCCTGTCAAACAGTTTCGTTTTATGTTATGTGGACTTGGTCTGTGTTGAAAAAAGAAAGTGGACAATAGCTTTATCCAGTAAATTGGTTGCTCATATATTCCTTGTTGAGAGAACAGTCACTGGCCCTGTGTGCACATAATGTTAAGCCCAAACCATGGCTAAGCCTGAATAAGTGTGTGTTTTTACAGTAAAAATCAAGTTTGTTTCATTCCAGTCCTCCTGCTGTAAGGTAAGGTATGATTTGGCTTAATGTTATGTTCAAACCCATGCTCAAGTTTCTCTCCCTGGACAGATTTAACATGTCAAACCATTGCTTAACTCAAGGTAGCATGGCTGCAGGAGGACTGAGGGAACAGTGAAGTGGCTGTGATTTTTTCTGTTGCTACCTGAACACTTGCACATTCACTCTTAGCCATGGTCTGGCTTAGTGTTATGTGTGAGCCAGACCAGAGCGAACAGTATCAACTGTGTGCAATGACACAAGCACAGAATGCGAAATTCCTACATATTCAACTGAGATTCTATTCCTCTCTTGCTCCCAACTACGGTTTGTTGTTGCTTCTGTTGCTTTTTTACTTGTTTTTCCGTGCAATTAAGATGCAACAGTTCTAACCTTGATTTTTATATGTAATATCACATGACATATAAATAAATATTTGCATTAAATGTTGCATTAAAATAAACAGTCTGCCCATCATGCCTGCGGAATTTTCTGGAGCACCATTTATAATTCAGCTATAGATTCTGAAGCTGATAATGTGACTTAAGGGGCGATTTTCTTCCTAAAGCAGGCTACGTAATCATTGCACAGGAGATCACATTGGATAAACTCAAGTTTCAGTTCCACAGCTCAAAAACTGCATCAAACTTTACCACAGTTTGGTCCAAACTAAGCAGACCCACAATTAGGGCAGGAGGGATGGGGAGAGGCATCTCCCTGCTACATTTTGTTCCTTCCCACACATGACCCAGCCTGGTGTTTTATGTTTTTGCCTGACAGGCAAACTTTCAGTGGAATGTTTGGGAGGTGGGGAGCTGTGGTTGGGCCATCTCTGTTTTTAGACTGTATAAGCAGGAAACAGATCCCATTCCTCGCAAAACTAACATCTGATAAGGTCAACACTGAAAGCGATGGCTTAGCTTACAAGTCTAAAATAATACTGGCTTGAACATATGCCTACGGAGTCAAACCATCAATCCACCATGGGTCGCCAGTATGCTGCCCTTCCAATGTTATTGGACTGCAATTCCCATCTTCCCTGGCCATCAGCTGCGCTGGCTAAGGCCCACAAGTCTAGCAGCATCTAGAGGTCACCTTGTTGGCTACTACTGGTCTACTTTAATGGTCAGTTACTGTAACTGATCTACTTTGACAGTCAACAAGACCTTAGGCAGAACTCCTTCCCTGCCTTGCAACATAGGCCACTTTCACACTGAGCATTTACTGTGGAATATTTACTCTGCATTCTCTCACTTTTTCTAGGGAATCTATAATGTTGTGAACAAAACATCCCCCTCTCATGTTCTGTCCAGCTTCCCTCCCCACCCCTTCAGAGCTCAGAAAGTCAAGCTTCTTAAAATTCAGTTGAATAGCCGCATCATTTCTCCAGGTGGAAATGGCCAACTGTATTACTACAGTGGTACCTTGGTTCTCTAAATTCAAGAGAATCCGTTCGACTCCCAAAATGGTGCAAAAACCAAGGTGTGGCTTCTGATTGGCTGCAGGAGCTTCCTGCACTCAATCGGAAGCTGCGGAAGTTGTGTTGGACGTCTGGCTTCCGAAAAACGTTCGCAAACAGGAACACTCACTTCCGGGTTTGTAGCGTTCAGATGCTGATTTGTTTGGGAGCCAAGCCGTTCAACTACCAAGGTACCACTGTAATCCGCCAGGTTGGATTGTTCAGTCTAGCCATTTTCTACATTGTGCTTGAGTCATTTTTTTCTCCTCTCTATGAATTGACTCAATCATTTCAACCCAAATAACATTGCCTTTATATCAGTCCTCTCCTCCCCCCTTTCACCCCAATTGCAGCAGGGGCAAGAATGATTGGGGATGAAGGTGGAGGAGAAAGGACACACGCACCCCAATGGCAGAGGCGGATTTAGGGGAGCACAGTCAGTTTGCCTACACTGGGTGCAACACCGGGGGCATCGCAACAATGACAAACAACAGATGGTGAGAGTGCCACTGAAATTTTAAAGCCCAAAGTCTGCCACTGCCAACAGTCTCAATAAAAATAATCTCCTCTAAGATGGGGAAAGGTGGACTCAAACCAGGAAGAATACTCACCATTGGTGTGCTTTTCAAAAATGAGTTTGTCATTGCATTCCTGTTCATTCACACAGCCACAGATGTAAAATATCCCTTCCTCATTGTGCTGACGGACCATAACACACTGGGATGTGTTGTACTTGGGAACCATGACATTTTCCACGGGAAGCTGTGGATTGTGACAAAGAGTACTCACTCTAATGCTCTCGTTGTCTTGTTTCCTGAAATGCATAATTAATCGGAAAAGTGATCACTGTGAAGGTAGAATAATGTAAGCCAACATTTATGTACTTGTTCATAAACAAATAATAAATCAGTCCTGAACATAGTTTCAAGTTACAAGAAAGGAGATTCCAACTAAACATACAGAAAACCTTTCTGACAGTAAGGTAAAGGTAAAAAGGTAGAGGATCCCTGGACGGTTAAGTCCAGTCTAAGGTGACTTCTCACTTCAGGCCAAGGGAACTGGTGTTTGTCTGCAGAAAGCTTTCTAGGTCATGTGGCCAGCATGATTAAACCACTACTGGTGCAACGGGGCACCCTGATGGAAACCAGAGTGCATGGAAACCCCGTTTACCTTCCCACCACAGTGGTACCTATTTATCTACTTGCACTGGTGTCCTTTCAAACGGCTAGGATGGCAGGAGCTGGGACAGAGCAATGGGAGCTCACCCCGTCATGGAGATTTGAACCGCCAACCATCTAATTAGCAAGCCCAAGAGGCTCAGTGGTTTAGTCCACAGCACCACCCACATCCCTCTCTGACAGTAAGAGCTGTTCGACGGTGGAACAGTCTCCCTCGGGAGGCTGTGGACTCTCCTTCCTTGCAGGATTTTAAGCGGAGGTTGGATGGCCATCTGCCATGGATGCTTTAACTGATATTCCTGTATTGCAGGGGGTTGGACTAGATGACCCTTGGATCCCTTCCAACTCTATGATTCTATAAATGTACCTTGACACAGTAGCCTACGTAGTGCTTTGTACAAGGGGTGGAATTCACCATTGCCTGTTACAAATGTTCTGCGGCTTGCCAGATCCCTTCCTCTCCTCACCCCGCATACTGTTCTGGGGGTTCTCCTGACCATTTGGGGGGGGGGAGTCTTGTTGCACAACTGGAGGTCCTTGCACAGGGCTTCTGCTGATGGGGCTCATTAGGTGAATGCTGCCCAAGGCTGTTCATATTTCCCGATGCCAACTGGAAGTGTATCGAAAAGTTGTCTTTGGGCTTGTTCACACTGGATCAAAACACAGATTTGCACCTGCCTGCCTCCCCATTGATGTAGTGGTGTCCACATGGCAGCCTCCTCATCATAGTGTTGTCTTGAACCTGGAAATGCAAGGTTTTTCCATCCTTGGAAAGTCCAAAATAGACAGGATCAAAACCCCCACATTTAAAGGGGCGGGAGAGGTACAGGACAACACTTTCATTCCTATCAGATGAACTCCCATTTAAATTAAAAATGTCAATTGCTTGTCCCCAACTGTGACTTTGTACTTAGTAGAATCCTCAAGATATAATGTGCAGCAGTTGGAAAATGTAACTGCTAGGTGTGGATCTTTCCGTAACTATGTTCTTGCACTTTATTTTACATTTAATATGTAAATGTTTTTATTAACAGAGGTGCCAGAACCCACCTGAGAGGTACCAGAACTGAGTTCTGGTGAGTCACGGCTTTAAAAAAAGCCCTGCTTATAATGTTTATATTTCCTTTTACCCATATTCTAATATTATCTGTGCATTTGATTTCATTGACAGTTTGTTTCATAGCCCATTAGGGATGTGCTTAATGAGGGTTGGTGCTCTTTGCCTGCTTACCATATAGACACACAGATTTCCTCTGACTTTTCACAATAGGAGCTCAGATCACAGTTGCTGTAGCACTCCTGATCTTTACAGACTGGGTATGTGTTATTACACCACTTACATAAATTGCTCTTCACATTCCGCCCTCCTTGGCCGTCATGTGCTGTGAATAAAAAGAAATCAAACAAAAGGAGCATCTTTAGTTGTTTGAATGAACAATTTTGTATATATGTCTCATCTGCTGATTCTGAGTTCACACATGGGTCATTAATTGACATACAGTACTATGATACCATCATCCACGGGGAGAGAATGCACAGGTTTCACATACTGCAAGCACCATGTGAATGTGTGTGTTTGGTGGAATCTAGATACACATTAAAAAATGTTGTGAAAATGTTTTTTTCAAAAACATTCTGAAAAATATATTGAATTTGCCATAGCTCACCATTGCCATCTAGTGTCACATTTGTATAATGCACTTGACAACACACTTAAAACGTTTTATTTGCAGCTGTATAGCTGAGCCCTTTGTGTGTGTGTGTGTGTGTGTGTGTGTGTGTGTGTGTGTGTGTGTGTTTGCTGTATGGGATAAGGGGATTCTCTTTCTGTAGCAAACGCTGACCATACTCTGTTTCCCTTTAGGCCTCATTAAAAGTGCACTCATTAATTCTGTGTCTTGCATTCACACATCCACACACTAACATGCACAGTCACAAGCTTTCTGGGTGTTTCTGAATACGTTTATGTTAATGCATAAAGGGACCCCTGACCATTAGGTCCAGTTGTGACCGACTCTGGAGTAGCGGCACTCATCTCGCTTTATTGGCCGAGGGAGCTGGCGTACAGCTTCCAGGTCATGTGGCCAGCATGAGTAAGCCGCTTCTGGCAAACCAGAGCAGCGCACGGAAACACCGTTTACCTTCCCGCCAGAGCGGTACCTATTTATCTACTTGCACTTTGAGGTGCTTTCGAACTGCTAGGTTGGCAGGAGCAGGGACCCAGCAACGGGAGCTCACCAGTTGTGGGGATTCGAACCGCCGACCTTCTGATCGGCAAGTCCTAGGCTCTGTGGTTTAACCCACAGCGCCACCCGTGTCCTGATGTTAATGCATAAGGGTAAAGGTAAAGGTACCCCTGCCCGTACGGGCCAGTCTTGCCAGACTCTAGGGTTGTGCGCTCATCTCACTCTATAGGCCGGGAGCCAGCGCTGTCTGCAGACATTTCCGGGTCACGTGGCAAGCGTGACAAGCTGCATCTGGCGAGCCAGCGCAGCACACGGAACGCCGTTTACCTTCCCGCTGGTACACCCTGGGGTGCTTTTGAACTGCTAGGTTGGCAGGCGCTGGGACCGAACGACGGGAGCGCACCCCGCCGCAGGGATTCGAACCGCCAACCATGCGATCGGCAAGTCCTAGGCGCTGAGGTTTTACCCACAGCGCCACCCGCGTTAATGCATAGGAACATGCTTATAGCAAACTTCATATTCTCTCAAGGTTGCACTTCTGTTATGGGGATATTGTATCCACTGAGCACTCAAAGGGCAATATACTGCAATGGGTTTTGCTGTAAGCTTTTTCTTTTCTTTTCTTTTTGGTGAATAGGACTATCACCATGAGTTGTTTTAAGGCAATATGTGCCAGAGTCTTGACAGAGGAGGCTGTTAATAGTCCTGGGTATTCAGGTGATGTGTTTCCATAGAAACTAATTATCAGACAATCCTCCTTGTGTCTTATGAATCGGGCAAAAGCAGACCTCCTCCCCCTTGATGATGTAATCTAGATGTCTTGTGTGTGAAGAGAAACAATAGGAAATGCAGTTTGAATTCAGAGTATTAGAGGAAATTAAGCCCCTGGTGATTTGATGATCTGGTGATCTGATGTAGACTTTGGCTGTCTTTGGAAGTATTTAAGGCAAGCTGTGTCTTTAACTATAATCAACCTTCATATCTGTAAATGAACTCACATATTACAAAATGCCATAAGCCTGCCACTGACCTCCTTCCAAAGGAAGCAGAACCCAGTAAGTTCTGTACACTCGAAATGGGCTGAGCATAACTATCTTGTACATATGGTGCTGTGGTCCAGGGACGGCCCATGTGTGATGCTCTCAGAACCGCTCTGACATTACCTTTTCACATGAACAAGACTAGGAGGGAGGGATCAAGAAGGGCCAAAATGTGATTGGGACACATTTTTGCTGATCACATAGAAAAGGCCTTCTCTCCCACAAACATTTGTGTTGACCTATCTGGCACAGCTCTGACAGATGGAGAAGACCAAAAGTAGCAGAATAGCAAATTAAGGCAACATGCTTGATTCAAAGATCAAGACAGTACAGAACAAGGGCTTGCCTCCCAAGTCAGTTTCAGTGAGGGTCAAGGAAAACACTATTAAACTTAATCTCATCCACAGGTGAAATCCTGTGGCCATCAGGGTTCCTAACCCTTGCTACTAGAAGCTTGCAAGGCTCCCCAATTCTTTGGAATGAGGCAGAGCAATTTCGTTAGATTCAGTACTCAGCAAATTTGTTATAGCCAAGAGTCAGTGGATGCTGTTTCAGAAGCTGAAAAGCAGACCTAGATATCTGGTTCTGATTATCATGATGTTCTTCCAAAGAATATTTTATACCAATATTCCGATTTGACCCTTTATTGTTCTCTAGTTTCTGGCAACCAGCAATAAATCTCCCATCCCATTTCCTGATGCATAAAATGAAATTTTGCATTACAAAAGAGACAGTAATCCTATGATTGGTGAATTCTGATGTGTGTGTGTGTGTGTGTGTGTGTGTGAGAGAGAGAGAGAGAGAGAGAGAGAGAGAGAGAAGAAAGACAGACAGACAGACAGACAGACAGACAGACAGACAGACTTTGCAACAACGTTGACTAGTACAATCATTATTGGCTACCACCAAACCCTTATGTCTTCAATTTATTCTTGGAGACCTCATCCTCATATTTAATTAGTTTATAGTTCGTTCCAAGTTTTGCTTTCCCAAACTTTTTTTTTAAAGTTTTTATTTTGATGCTTTGCATTTGCCTCTGCAACATCTGGAAAGCTTTTTGTAGAAGCTTATTGTTACTTTACTGCCTGTGCAGCTTTATTAAATTATCTGAGTATTAACATTGAAAGCATTCATCTGGGTTTAATTAGGGGTAAGATGAGTGATGTGGCAGTTAAACTACAAGCTAATGGTTCAGGGACACAAAGTTCTAATAGTAGTTTTAGCAAGTTTCTTGCCCTGATTTTCACTAATTAAGAAGCTGGGCTCCTATGCAAAAGCTTGCCTTCCAAAACAGATGGGGGGGGGGGAATCACATGATGAACCAAACTAGCAATAACCTCTCACTGAAAGTTTTCGTAACTTGGTGGCAGTGTTTTATCTGGATTCATAAGAGGTCTATAGAGTGGTGGCTGGTGCCCATTGAGACTGGTGGGGCAGAAGTTGGGGAGCCCAATAGTAGGTGGAGCCAGAGCCAACGACAGGCAGAGCCAACTAATTCTAGTTTTGTCTCCATCCTTGTCCCTGCTGAATTCTCTGCAACAAGGGGAAACCCTGAGATTGAGGAGGAAGAGGGAGCTGACACCTTCCCCGCCCCCCCAAGACTGGTTGTAAATAAGGAGGGAAAGCTGGTTATCTGAGCTTGGTGGGGCAGTCCCTCATTTGCTCTAATGGACCAGCCTACCAGCCTTCCCCAACATAGGTCCCCCAAGTTGTATGGGACTACAGCTCCCAGCAGCATGATCCAATGGCCAGGGATGATTGGAGCTGTAGTCCAAAACATCTTGAGGACACTAGGTTGGGGAAGACTGGTTAGTACTCCCCACCTCCAACCCTAATTTGCCTTTGCACTTAAGATCCCACCTCCCACCCCATTTAGACTGGTCTTGATGCATCTTGTTGCACAGCTGGTGATGATTTTTCTTTCGGGGAAGTGTATGAATCAGAACCAACATTCTTTTGAACGTGTCTCTCTTTTTTTTAAAGATTACACGTGCAATACTTGGGTGTGTTCCTAGTGTGATTTGGCAATAGCTCCGATTAATGGGTTTGTTTACTGTGGGTTCCATGATTGATAGTAGAATCTCATCAGGGCCAGTTCACACTGCAAATTCCTCCGCATAACTATATAGGCAGAAATGCAACCACGTGGTGAAAGGCTAGTAGGGTTCTACGCATGAGGGTGATGGCAAACCTATTTCTGTTAGTAGGTTGTGCAAAAGGTACAGATGTGGCCATATGAAATATCTGCTGGCTCGTCGCATGTATGTACAGTATTGTTTAGCACTAGTCTTTCTTCACAACCCAACACTGCGCATCTGCACACAGTGGTGCTGCCAGGGCAGGGCTTTGGGGCAGAGGTCCAGAGCCCCTCTCAGCAGAATGAGCAGGAAAGCTGCCCCAAATGCAGCAGGATTGGCTTGCCATATTTTGAATTGAGTGAATATGGAGGGAGCCCCTGCAAGGCCATGGATTCCAGAGCCCAAAATTAAGAACTGCATCTAATGATCATCTGGAGCAGTGGTTCTCAACCTGTGGGTTCCCAGATGATGTTGGACTACAACTCTCATCATCCCTGAGCTCTGGCCTTGCTAGCTAGGGGTGATGGGAGTTGTAGTTCAACAACATCTGGGGACCCACAGGTTGCGAAAGGCTGATCTTGAGGAATGTGACAGTGTCGCCTGGCACCGAGAAAGAAAATATAATCGACAGTAGGAGATAAAAGCAAGAGTGATCCATTCATTTATGCAATGAGCCTCAGTTGTGTGCCTCCTAATGCATATGTTGCCCCTACTTGTGTACTTGCCTGTCTTCAATTTATCTGACAGCTGTGTCTAATGACACATAGGCAAGGCATCTTTCCCTAAAAGAAATATGCTTCTGGGATTGCTAAGGCACCAGTGTTGTTGATTCTTCCATGTGTATTCAATAATTTTCAGCCAGCACGCTTCTTCTTAGTGTTCCTGTTTGCTGTATCAGTTACTTTTAGTTCCTCAATGTAATACACTTCCTACTTGGAAGCACACAGTTTACACCCTCCTGATGAAGGGGTTGATAGGTCTATGAGAGCCTATGGCTCAAGAGGATGGGTTCTCATCAGCCTAACCTCGAAAGGGCCATTAGCAAGGGTTTCAAAATTTATCAGGGTGAGACTGTTTA